GTATTAGAATAAGCAAAAAAAGAAATAAAGTTTTCTCTATATACTTGGAAAAAAACAATAAAAAAAAAAAGAAGAAAAAACAAAACTTCTATAGTTTTACCGTGTAGGAAAAGAAAATGATATATAGAACTTCTATTTGTAAAATGTTTTCAAATAGGAACGTAGCATACTCCGTATGATACCATGCATGTTAGAAATAAATGGGTTCCAATAATGCATCGATATGAAACAATCATTATATATAATCAGGTGTTAGAGATTCATCAAAGCATGATGACAACTTTAATATATGGATCAAAAATAATGATAGAGACTAACAACCAGATGTCTCTTTTCAACTCGTCACTTTACCAACTAAAAAGTGTGTCAACACAACATCACACATAAAATGACAAATCCATGAATATGCACGTATTATTTGAGGCATAAGCAATCCTTATCAACAACATGTCACACACAAATGATCGTAAACTCCCACTAACTCAATACAATTACAGGCTCTTTACAGTTCCGAGTGGGATGCGTGTTCTTAAAACACCTAATAGGTAAGTCTTTAGTGGAACTGTCAATATGTTGTTTATAGGCGTGTTTTCAGTAACAATGAGATCTTTTACAATTTCTCTTTACAAAAATAGAACACACCATCATTATGCTTGAGCGGACAATGTTTCTAGTGTTCTAAGAGAAATATACTATTATAGAACTTTTACAACACAATTTCAGCCGGTCCAGAAATGGAGTGAACTACTCCTAGTGCTAAAATAAGGTTCCACAATCACATCACACAAATAGCCTCACGATATGCCACATACTCCGCATCACAATCAAGGACGCTACGAGTGTTTATTTGACACTTTTCAACAAAGTAGCTTTTTCTTTTATCATTTATGCAGCCTGATTAATCGGCATCACGAGATCTAACTGCAACCAAGGTGTTGGATTGTCGATACACAACTATTTGGTACTTCATTCCCAGTTAATTCAGTAATAATAACAACAGTCACTCAAGTACCGAATTTGCACGTCAACAACAAACGCAATAATAAGACGTGTGCATACTTGAGCATACATCAGGCTGCTAAACACGTAAGCATAAGGGACAACTTTATCTGATCTCTCCTACTTCACCATAAGGACATTACACCTTTGAGAGTTTGTCACTTTAACTAACAATACTTACTAGGAGAATAAGAATGCATACTGAACCTATTCAAAACAAGAACAATATAGGTTTTCTAAGACGACTAGAAAATGCACTTATCCTTGTCACGGAGAATCTACATGCCCAGAACATAAGAGGCTTTTTTAAGATTCTCATACCAAAGTGACTAGGCAACATGCTATTTGTCTCAACCAATTGGTCAGAATCATTAGCCTCGAGCAAGTTGTCACCGACTTAAAAAACAGAAACATGCAACTGCTCTCACTGACCTTACACATGTGCATTTATCGACAACGTTTTCCATAAAACTAATTTTAGTGACTGTCTCATCCTAAAATTGAGACACTACTTCCTCGGCGTTATCCATACACTCCCACTCATCATAGAATTTTTTAACACATTAGCGGAGCTAGGAAATACATCCACTCTCAAGGCTATGTCCATTTCAGCATTAATAGATTCATAAAGAGAATCATACCATATATAATGGCTTGTCCCATTAACGTCAAGATAGCGGAGATGTAAGGATTGCTTAAGGCTAAAGAAAACAACATGGGTAACCAATAATAGGCATGTAAAACAAGATCATGCAATTTGCCCTTTACTTAGCCTTCCCAATGATCCAAGCCAATATGATCATTGTGTGCTAGATTCCGTTGAGCAAGAATAGAACTCTTTCACAGGTAAGGACAATTCATCAAATATCACAACCAAATACATCAATCCACCACCGATAGGATAGTAAAGATTATGCGGTTCATGACATCCAACAAACTTCCTTCACCGGTCTAAGCATCCTACCAAACAATTAATTATTGATAGGATAATTTAATTGCCCGTATGGATCTTAGTAATATAATAAATACATACATTTATCCTTAACACTCCAATATATTATTTGACCATAATATGAGTTTAGTAATTATGCAAGTCCATGTATAATCATTCACAATATTCTCCCACGTGGACTGCATAATCAATGACAACAATACTCATATAATACAAAATGTCAAATAATAATATGTAAACAAAAAACATGGATAAAGACAACAAGCTTAAGCTCCAATTAGATTCAAGCGTCTTACCAAGCAATGAAACTATCGATAGGATAATTCTATTACCCATATGGACTTTTGGAACATAATCAACAAATTAAGTTTATCCATATAATCTCACAATTTATTATTTGATAATAGTATGTGAGTTAGTGATTATGCTAATCCACGAAAAATGTTTCTAATTTCCTCCCACTTGGATAGCATAATCAAAACACATGATACTCACATAAAACAAGATATCAAATAATAATAAATAAATTATGGATAAACTTATAGCTTAAGCTTTATAATAGCGCCGAGCTTCTAATTAAAATTTTCAATCTCACTTTAACACAAAAGAGACCATGTATGCCTATGCAAATAATTAGGCATTAAAACATTAAACACAAAATGGGCATTCCAAAATTTGAACAAACATCCATATTATATGTCTAAATTTTATTTACCAAAATATCAAATTATGTGGGAGAACAAATAAAATATGACCATATAATATGGAGTAACAAACATGCCCCAAAATCTTAGGTCTCAAAATAGTGAGAATTAAAACTACCCAAAAATATGTTAAAATCATTAGAAAAAACAATAATTAAATAAAAAATATTTTTGGTTAGCTCACGTGCATCTATGTAAGGAGTGTGTGTATCTTAATGCCTTTTTCAATTTTGTGGGAGAGCTCCGTAACATAATAATCGAGATAATTTGACATATTTAGACTCACGACAGACAAGTACATAAACATTCACTATTGTCGAATTCTCACAATTACTTATGCCATATAATAATATAAACATAATTAAAATTTTATGGCGTCAATCATCAAACAAATTGTATACGAAATGCCCAGAAAAAATTTATTTGAAAAATTGTGAGAATTAGCCACCCATAAAAATATACAATCAATAATATAGAAATATTAAAAAACATGATTTTATGGTGGCCCAAACCCAAAATAAATCATTTAATTGGGTTGAAAATGAAAAACGGAGCACAACGGCGAAAACATCGGTCAAAACAGACTTTGGATGTGTTCGTACGGACAGGTCAAAGTTTGGTCAAAACTGACTTTTTTTTGTTCTAAAAAACGACATGTCGTTTTGGGCTTACTAAAAATGACATGTCGTTTCACTCACACGATAGCCACAATTCCTCCTTCAAATGACATGTCGTTTTTCCACAATGATGATAAACAACATGTCGTTTCAAGCTTCCCTGAGCTCTGAAAACTACAAATCAGACCCGCTGGAAAACTGAGCTCCAGTGGTCCATTTTTTACGTTCATAGATGGGTTTTGCTCCAAATTTCATTCTCTTTGGTTTTCAAACATCAATTTCACTCAAAAACCCATAGAAAACAAAACCCCATGAAGTGCACGAACGTGCACAGTAAGCTCAAGAAAAAGAAAAAAACTACAACCTCAAATCCAATAAGATGGGCTCTGATACCATTTGTTAGAAATAAGTGGGTTCCCAATACTCATAAATGAGGTTAAAACAACAATACCATTGAACCAAAAAATGAAACTATCAAATTGGATTTTGAAGCATATAGAAAATTAATGGTTTTAGGATTACCTCATCCACACGTAAGAACGGCGTCATTCGTGGTGGCCGGAATCCGTTCTTGATCGGTCGGAGTTGAAGCTTCAATGATCTGATAAAATCAAAGGGCCTTGGAGGGTTTTGAACTCTTCTCTCCTCTGCCTCTCTCAACTCCCATAGGCACACACATACACGACAAGGGGCACCAAATTTTGCCCCTTGGCTTTTTATTGCAATCTAGGGCAAAAATGGGCCTTAACTAAAAACGTGGATACAGAGGAAGTTTGGCCGCTGATTAAATATTTAAAGAGAGTGAATTTAAGGGCCTCAAGCATATTAGAGATTAAATTATCCATTTTATTATGAATTGATATTATACACACATACATGTATTAATTTACATTAATACAATTATCTATAAAATAATTTAATTAACTACAAAATTAATTATTATGATTATGAAATTTCACATAAAAATATTCCAACAATACATTCGCGTCAGATTTAAATCAAGACAAAAGCGTCAAAATTACAAATGAAGGAAATCGCAATTTTATATTAAGGGAAAACTAGATACGAATTCGGCGTCTCTGGATAATATTTTAAATAGGAATTTGTTCTGTTCATGCATTATAGGCTGATGCTTTTTATTAAATTGGATTTAATTCGTGACCCTGTAATTAAATTTTAATTGTGGTTGAAAACACGATTGATTAAGAAGATGAAATAATATTATGGTTGACACTTGACAATGATCTATGCTGTTGACCGGTAATTTAGAATGAACCACCAAAATTATTGTAACAACAACAACAATAATAATTATAATAAAAACAAAATAAAAAGTAAAAACAAAACAAAGAGATAACCCTCCACCATAATTTTTGTCGTTTAACCTTTAAAAAGAAGGTCCTCGCAGATAATTTTTCTTTGATGTGTTTCATTGTCGAATCCTTTTTTTTTTTTTTTTTTTTTTTTTTTACGAGTCTAACCAAATTTTTCAATGCTCTCAGTTGGCCATAAATGGACAAAGAGGAAAAGAAAAAAGGGAATACTTATCAACAATTTTAGAAGTCCCTCTCATCCCACCCTTGTTATTAGTATCTACTATATCTACTTAATTATATCTACAATTGTGCATTACTTTGTTCTAGCAAAAAAAAAAAAAAAGGTATTCTTTTTTTTTAAAAAAAAAAAAAAAAAAAAAAAAAAAATTGCCATTGCTTTGTCTTCATTCTTTCACACCCACAAATTATTTTCTTCTTCGTTTTTTTTATTTAATTTTTTTTTTCTTTCGCAATTACATAACCACCACGGCTTTTAGATTAAGCACATAATCATTAAAATATAATACAACAACAATGGAATCTCCACCTTCTTCATGATTATATCAATCTCAAAACCTCTCCCAAATTCAAACCCTTCTAATCATCATCTCCTTCCAAGCCCTAATTAATCTCCCATGGCTAGTCCCTTCACAAAACCGTCGCCGCCACCGCCGCCGCCAACGTCATCGAACCTCCCGATGCTGTACTATGGCCTCATCGTCGTCGGAACCGCCGCTATCGTCCTCGCTCTCTACAACCTCATCGTCATGCGGTTGTGCGCCGATGGCCGGAACCGGCTGCCGACGAGGCCGAACACAATTATCGAAATCGCGGCGACGAGGACCGTGGCCGAGAACGGCGCCGTCGGCTTGCCGTCGAGCTTCAAGTACAAGAAGGAGATGTCGGCGGGCGAGCACGGTGGCGGAAACTCCGAGTGCGCCGTATGTCTATCGGCGTTCGAGGAGGGAGAGGAGATCAGGAAGCTGCCGAGGTGCAGGCACTGCTTCCACGCGCCTTGCATAGACATGTGGCTCTTCTCTCACTCCGACTGTCCTCTATGCCGGACACCGGTGGGCGTCCGCCGGTGCCACCGCCACGTGGCGGCGCCGGCAGCGCCGGAGGAGAGTTCGAGAGAAGTTTGGCTTGGTTCTGCGGTTTCCGTTTGATCTTTCTTTTTTTTAGTGGTAATTTAGTCTTTTCAATATTGTGAGACAGATAAAAGTTGACGCTGATGACAAAGGAAGGTCGAACGGAGAAATGGTGAGTTTTCGTGGTACTATTTGTTTAAATTGGGCCAGGGGTTTTGTTTGGCGGGTACAGAAAATACAAAGCAAGTAAGCAAAACTTTTTTGTCTTGGTGTATGTATTGTTTTGATATTTTGGTGTATAGTTTTGATCCATCATATTGACTGTAAAGTTCATGATCAGTTCTTAATTCTTATCATGTTTTTCTTACGTCCCGTTCATTTCACCGATTCGAGTTTAGAATTCGAGTTTTACTAAAGTAAAAAACTCTTAAAAACAGTAACATTTAACTTTTTTACTACAATAAAAAATTCACATGAAGTCACATCTTAACTCAAATTAAAAACTCAAACGGGCCCTTACATGTATTTGTCAGCAACTTTTGGTAATCCAGATTTTGTATCATGTAATATTTGTATTTGCGTTACTAATTTATTTGGTTAGCAATAAAGAATATAATTTAACTAGCAAAACAATTAAGAAATAATTTGGATCAGCAAAAAAGGAGTCGGGGGATTAAATATTTTTAGAACTAAAACGGCAAAACTAGTTCGTGCAATGAATAATTTTTCGAAGTAAATAGTTCGTGCAATTCCCCGGCCAAAAAAGGAGTAAATTGTACAATTACGCCTCAAATTATTTATTTTTACATAATGTACCTCGAACTTTCAATTTTAGCAAACGGCACCTTAGACTTTAAAATCAATTACAATTAAAATCTAATAGGTAACAGATGTTATCAAATAAACGGTTTAAAACACATAATTTACACGTGGAAGGTAAAGATTTTTATTTTTCATACCATATCACATGCAAATCTCATGTCTCAAAGAGTCAATTTAATAATGTCATTATTAAATTTCAATTGTAATTAATTTTAAAATTCAGAGTTCAACTTATTAAAATTAAAAGTTTGGAGTCTGCTATGTAAAAACTGAATAATTCAGAGTGCAACTGCGGAATTTACTAAAAAAAGAGTTTTATGCAATAAAGGTTTTAACTTCTCTTTTTCTTCAGGAAACAATCAAGTTTGTAACTCGGTCAACTGAAAATTAGACTGTTAATATGATGCTGCAAGGTGCTAGCAATAGCAACTAACTTTCAGGCATGATATTAATAAGAAAAACAATGGAATAATAAATTATATTGAAATATAACAAAAAAATTAAAAGGCTGATTTAAGTGGTTGTGTTCATGAGCGCCCGAGTGTGTAATCCAAAAATTATTAACGAATTTTTAAAAATATTGCAAAATTTTGCTAATTATATTGAAACATAACAAAAAAATTTAAAATATTATACAAATAGCAAAAATATAAAATCATATAAAATCGTTACTAAGTAATTTTGTAATATAAATATTATTATAGAAATTAGTATGTAATTTGGTTATTCCTAAAATATTTTTTAAAAAAGTTTTATATTTGAACACCACTCAAATTTATTGTGTAATGTAATTATTACAATTTTTATATAAAAAAAAATGCACATTAGAGAGCTAGTCCTAAACAAATGTTAGCGACACTCTTTCTGTCATTCTCATTGTCATTCTTTGCATTCACTGTTTAACACGTTGACTCCACTATTTCATTTTTTGTTTAGATAATAATATATATGTTAGTGGAGTTTACGTGTCAATAGTTAATGCAGATAGTGACAAAGAGACTGTCAAAAAAATGTTGCTAGCTTTTTCTTCCTAGAAAAAAAAGCGAGAGAGAAAAAGAAAACGAGCATGTTGGTCAGAGTTTTGAAAACGGACGTATTGTGGGCTCATGTTGGGGTTGTTTAGTTCGCTGATTCGAGTTTTTAATTCGAGTTAAAATGTGACTTTGTGTGAGAGTTTTTTTTAGTAGTAAAAAAATTAGATGTGGTTGTTTTTTAGAGCTTTTTACTGTAGCAAAACTCAAATTCTAAACTCAAATTGGTAAAATGAACGGGACCATGTTTTCATGCAAGAGTTTGTAGCAATGAGGACTAGATAGAATTATAAATAAAATATTAAAACAAAAAGATGAGGACTAGATAGTGGGTGGGGATGGTTTTTTGCTAATACGAGGCTAAAGGGCCGAATTTGAGATGAAATGAGGGGCAAGCAATGTTTGGTTCTCTGGAGCATTTGATGGTGTCGAAGACGGCTACTTTAGGTTGTGCGTGTGGTGCATGTTCGTTAATATGGCGGCACGTATACGGAGCTTCTTCCCTCATTAATACCCAATCTCTTCACATTGTTTCAAACGTTGATGATCATCTCTCTACCAGAAACTTTGTCGTTCGACAATTATAATAAAAAATAAATTAAAGAGAAAACAACTTTATGAATGTTTTTGTGTCGATTTCTTTTTCTTTGACGTTATGTAATGTTTCGTGAGAAATAAGTAAAATAAAAAGGAATGAGAAGGTAAAAAATAAAGCAAAATCATGAAAAGGAATATATTTTTCTTTTAGAACTTAGAAGAGCAACAGAAGGGAAAGAAATTGTTTATAACATTACTGAAAATACGTGAATGAAGAATATTTAGAGCAAAATAGTTCCAAGGACACGGTGTAAAGGCTATAAACACTAACGTCAATGTTCATGTAGACAAAAACACCAAAAGAATTAAAAAAAAAACAAAAAGGAAGATATATATTTGTAAATGATAGAATAATTTCTACTTTCTTTCCCCAAAATTTTCCAAAAAAAAAAATCAATAAAGAAAATGAAATTTATAATAATATTATTGAAATATATTCCTCAAAAAAACTATTAAAACAAAATTTTAATTTACGTAAATTTGGTGCGTTGTGCCTAATATTCCATATTTATAAAAAAATATATATATATTAAAAAGAAATGGCACACTTTTATATTAAGATAATATTAATATTAATTGCAATATGGACGAAAATAGTAGAAAATAGACCAATATGAAAAGCTTAAGAAAGTATATAGGCCAACTTTCAGTTATATAAATTAATAGGTAATAACTTGTTAAGTTATGGTTTATAACCAGATAAATTATGGACAAACTTGTCAAGTTATGGTTCATAACCAAACAAGTTATTGATAAAAATCATGAATTAAGAACAATAACTTATCAAGTTATGATTCATAACCAGACAAGTTATGAACGAAAACAATAATTTAGCCTATTTATTAACTTATGTAAACTATTGACCTATTAATTTTAATTCATCTCAAATTTTAACTTATTACCCTCTCTCTTCCTATAAATTTAACCTGAAATTGGTGGGCTACTCCAGGCCCATGCTATAGTGCAACGCATGGGTGACGCGCAAGGGCCCAGTAGCATGCCACTGCTATGGGCCCTAACCCTGAAAAAATCAACTTAATATCATGTGGGCCATTGCTCACGTATCAAATATTAAACTGATAAGAATAGATACTACGCTTACGCTTGATCTTAGCCAAAAGCGAGAAATATAATGGCCATATTTAGAGTTGCTTTTGTTTTTATTTTTTATATTTTTCGAGAAAAAAAAATAAAAACGAAAGAAAAATGACATTTAGTATAATTAAAGATAAAAAATAAAAATAAAAATAATTTTTTATAATTTAATATAAAATAAAAAAAATAAAAAAACGACTTTTAGTCGTTTTTCATTTTTTATTTCTGTTTACTCCTCTCTCGAGCACACGGAAAGAGAGATTAATGAATTTTTTTATACTGAAAACAATCTCTTGATAAAATTATTAAATCCATTTTTAAAAATAATTTCGGTCTGAGATTGAAAATATTTTTATTTTTATTTTTATATAAAAAATAAAATTATTTTAAAAATAAGTTCCAAACGCACTCAATATTTAAGCTTTGCTTATATTTCTCACAACGCTCTTCTATTCATCTTATCTTGATGTGGGACTAGCATACAAAACTCTCGCAGAGTTGAAAACGACAGACTTGTAGAACTAGAAGCACCGGACGAGATCCGTTTAGTGCGGAAAAGTTCAGCACATAGATAAAAGCTATCTCTCTTATGGGTAATTTACTAATTTTTGTTTTTGTTTTTTTTTCTAAACTATCAGATATATCATAGAATATTATGAGAAACAAGCTTCGAAACTAGAATGTGTAACCTAAAACACCCTTGATTGTACTACTCTAGTATATAACAATATGGATTAATTGCATTGATGCACGCTAAATTTATCAGAGTATGAGGCCTTAGTTATAATGAAGGGAAATGCACAAGTGTTTTAAATACACCTCAAACTTTTTGCTGGTTAGCAAGTTATAGACCCTAATCTTTTATCCCAATTGACGTATGCTACCAATAGGACTACATTACTAAAAATTGTGAAACTTAGAATCCTAAATGCCAAAATAAAGTTAAGAATCCAACTTGCAAAATGACAAAAGGTTAAGAATGCATGGATGCAATTTTCCAGAACGATATTGTCAAATCATGCCCAGCTGAGAATCACCCATTTTGTGTAACGCAATTTATTGTGCTAGCCAGTTGCAGTTATATGTATCTCTTAACGGATTCTGGAGGTACCCGGTTGGCAATTGAGTTCACAGATTATCATTTCAGTACCATTCTTAGCATCATATATAATAGGAATATTAGATCTCTTATCAATCTTGATACACACGCATGTTATTAGTATATAGTTGCGAAATGCAAATCTTATTAATGCTCGTGTTCCAAACCCTGAATCCATACATTCTGCCATAATCACAGATATTACACTCTTAAGATGAACACTCATTTTGCACAATAGTAGAAGTAATGACAATAGAGTATACAAATCATCATGAAAACTACATCTTTCTTAAGTTATCTAACCTTGCTTGTAGATCACTATCTATCCCACTTTCTTCGTTCGCTGCTGTTTCCACTTGTGGAACTTTTGCCTTGGCAGCTGGTGCAGCAACTGCTGCTGATGGCGCGTTAACAAGCTGCACGTTTTAAATAAGAACACACCAAACATTGTTATCACAAGATTAACATTTCGAATTAGATGATGCCGTCAAATACACCACCAATCATGTTTAGTCTACAATTTTAGTGAAGATAATGAAAAAGTAACAATGAGAGGAAAAGAGTACCTCTTGATTGATGTCAATACCGATCTCGTCGAGCACCTGGTTCACTAGATCTTCAGTTTCCTCTTCTTCTTCATCCCCTTCCAAAGCATCGTCGATGGCATCTGCCATCACTTCACTTACCAACTCCATCTTCTCGTTCTGCCTCTCAAATTCTTGCATAATCTTCTGCAATGATGGCAAGTTCATCTGTCTGTTCATTTGACCCATTGCCTTTGTCACGCCTTTCATTGCCTCTCCCATTGCTTGGGTCGATTTCAATGTCTGGAAGTATTAAGGAATATGGCTTAGCGGCAAAATGGTAAATATCCAATCAAATTTAAGCATACAACCATAAAATCTCAAGGAACATAAAGAAATCGAGCAAAAATGTTGAATGGAAGAAACTTAATCAGGCTCAAATCCCAGTGTAGAAAGATTTCAACGTTTGCAAAAACAGTATTTTCTATTCCTAGTTAAGAACAACCAGAAATAGGAGTGCTTCTCTATATTTTTCCTTGTTTCTTGTGATGAAATCCACGAACAAAATATTACCTGAATTCTGAGAGCTACTCCCTGGAGTTGTGATTTGAGCTTGTAAAACTTTTCAATCTGGTGTCGTGTTCTAACAAGGTCCTTAGCCATAACTTTGACAGCTCCCTGCAACAAAACTAACCATGATCAAAAATATAGTTGGATGATGTGACCACAAGACATAATTATTTCAAAGCTTGATGTCAACACGTCTTGCTGAACCTAGAATCATAAAGATATCAAACTATGAATCAAATCTGCAAAGAGTTGGATTAGAAAAATCACACACCATTTGCCCTTGCTTGGCACTTTTCTTGATCTCCATAATTAGTTTCTTCTCTTGTGCCTGAAGGCCTTGCCTCTCCCTTTCTATTTCTCTGATAGATTTATCCAGCATCCTCTTGTTTTCCCGCAGAAGTTCTGAGATCACAGTCATCTATTTAGTATCAGCTTAAGTACAGTAGCTTTAATCATGTACTACTACCAATTACAGTGCCAAGTGAAGTTTGAAAAAAATAAAATCTAAAAACAATAAATTCAAAATGAAAGATAAACATATCTATACCAACCATTTGGGTTTTAAAAAAGCAACAGAAAATGGAAACATAAAGCCGACATCGAATACCCCAGGGCTGCGGCTTCTCTCATTGTGTTTGATATAAATTCCCACCTAGAATCCACCCATATTGGGAGATATTTAAATTTGGAGTTCTTTAAACGACTTGAAATCCCTCCTCCAATCCTTTCCCTCCTCTTTTCGCTCCTAGCAAACAACCATGCATCGCAAAATCCTTACGGTAATCCCCTCTCCCTCGAGTCCTTCCTTTCATTTTTCTCTCCAACCAAACAAGCTCTAAAGTGATAATATCCAGATAATCAACAAACCATAGACTCGTGCTTATTGTACTTGAGACTAATTCGTGATAAGACATGCACATACATAAATGACTTATCATTCAAACTCTAATTTCCAATAGATGAATACAAATGTGTTAAAATAAACTGTGGCACAAAGAATTTGGGGGGAAAATATGCAGTAATTTGCAAAAACATATGAACGAATTAATTTAACCTTGGTCAAATCCAGCTCCAAAGAAGCAAACTTTACAACAAACTATCCTCCATAGTAAAAACCCAAAACACAAACTATCATAACATGAACAATTGAGTCGATCCAAAAAAAAAAAGGAAAAACCACCATTCATCGCCAAATAAAACCATTTTCTCTACGCTATTCAACTCAATTTCTCGGATTGCTAACCAATTCCTCACAAACTCAAGCAGTAGCAATACAGAAAATTCAAAAGAACCTAACAGCTTTCAATCAATCAAAACATCGCAGTAATTAAAACTAATTTCAACAAAATCAGAAACTCAGAAAAAAAAAAATTACGCAGCCCAAAATTAGCGAAAATAAATATACGTAAATATAGTGAGAGAAAAAAGAACTGGATTGAGCAATGGACCTGCGGGGGTTTTTCGCTTGCCGAAGAGAAAACTCATGGCGATAGATCGGACGGTCGAAAAGCAATCTGAATTTTCCGATGAGCGTCTCTGATGTGATCCGATCGGATAGTATCTTCTCTCTGTTTGTGTTTCTGCTTTTTGTTGTTCTTGGTTGGGGTTTGTATAGAAGAAGAAGAAGAAGAAAAAAAGGCAAGTCTTCGATCGTCCAACTCGTACGCGGTAAGGTGTACTGGTTGAGGAATGGAATCATCAACGAACCCGACCATTCCATCTATCTTAACACATTGACGTGGCGCGCAATTTGGTTAGGCCCAGCCCAAGCTGATCGTTGCCTTAGCACGCTGAATCCCTCTTTTTACTAACAGAGTAAAAAATAGGCCGATATGAAAAGCTTAAGAAAGTATATAGACTAATTTTTAGTTATAAAAATTAATAAGTCATAATTTGTTAAGTTATAATTCATATCCAGATAAGTTATAGTCAAACTTGTTAAGTTATGATTCATAACCAGATAAATTATGGACACAAATCGTGAATTATGGACAATAATTTATCAAGTTATGGTTCATAACCAGACAAATTATGAACAAAAATAATAATTTAACTTATTTATTAACTTATGTAAACTATTTACCTATTAATTTTAAGGCTTAATTTCATCTTTCTCCCTTTTACTAATTGGGCTTGTTTCAGCATCAAAAGGCTTGGGCTTAGCGGGGCGCTGGGCCCTATTAGGCCGTGGCAGAATAGAGTTCATCACATATATCCCAAGTTGAGAAAAGGGATATTTACCTTCAATATCATGTTTTAGATTTATTTAAAAATTGTACTTTCAGTTTTTCACATCAATAAAGTATATTTTTAAATTAGATTTAATAATTAAATTTATATCTTTTCACAATCAACTCTCAATTTTAAGCATAAAATACTTAAAATACGGTTAAATAAAAAAATAAAAAAACTTTAAACTTATGATTAATCTTAAGAATATCCAAAATGCTATTGAAATGGATTTTTTGTGTGTTTTTTATTTTTATTTTTTTATAATGTTGGGAAGTTTTCTTCTTTTTTTTGTTCTCTTTCTCTTAAGGATAGTTTAGCCATTTTACAAGTCAAAATCAATTATTGACAGAGATAAGAGATAGATTTGTATATTAAATCTAATTTAAAAGTATACATTTGATAAGATAAAAACTGAAAGTATAGAGTTTGAATAAACCTAAAACATAAGATATAAAAATATAACTAAGCTCTGAAAAAATAAATGTCCATGAGTTGTAATATTTGCACATAAATTTGTAAAAAAACTCGTAATGACATTTTTATCTTTTATGAACCATTCATAATCGCTCACACAAAAATAGTATATTTGAAATAATATTATCTCAACAACCAAAATAGACAACTTAATAATATTATTAAATTAAAGATAAGTTCTAAACATGAGTATAAAAGTGATCATTTTGTATTAATACTTCCAGCATATAGTGTTTAGAAACGGGACTTTTTAGACTTGTATAGCAAAATCTCAATAGTATTTTTTTAGGATATCTCAACAGTGAAATTGAAACATAGTAAGAGTTTCAAAATATTGTAAGATAGTAAATAATTAAATCATTAAATAATTATTATGTAAAATATATAGTATAAAATATGGCATTATTGTGATAATAATTATGTTATTTTGCTATTTTATTAATATTTTAAATTTTTTACTACGTTTCAATTCTAAGATATTAAAATTTGAGAAAAGTACATGATTTGTCATGATTTTGTGCATATCTATTATTTATATCATTCTAAATAATTTGGTGTTACTTTAGCCTTTTTTTCTCTCTTTATTAATTGAATGGTAATTGTTAATTTTTTAGTCGAGTGGTATAAATAAAATTTTTTATTATATTAAGTGGTATTTCTGATTTTTCCCTATTAATTTGTTCGTATGATAATTTAGCATAAAAATATTAAATTCTTAAGAATTGGCATAAAAATATTATGGTGTTTAATTTTATATAAAGAGAAAAGAAGTAGAACTCTTGCACTGTTTTTAAATGGCATAAAATTTTTTGTGCTTCCTTATTACAGGGACACTTCACTAGACTTCCCTTTCTTGAAAGTAAATAAATCTTCGAGTGGATTTTTTTTTTCCACAGACCTTTTATAGGAGTTATTGCATTTTAAAAAAGGGAGAACGAAACTTAGAGGAGTGCTTCCTTTTTCTTAAAAGCATAAAGATTTAGAGTCCGTTTGGTCCAACCAAACGGGCTCTTATATCTTTTCTTGAACACTATGCTATTTTAATTTTTCTTCTTTTTATGTGTTAATTTAAGAAGAGCAGATTCTGTAAAAGAGTACAAAACTAAATGCTCTCTTTGATAGGAAGAAAGGAAAAGGAAGGAGTGAGAGAAAATGTGACTAAGAGAAAGGAAGTTGATTTTCTTTATTTTGTTATGTGTGATAGGAGAGAGAAAAAAAGAGTGTTCAGCTAAATTATTATTTTACTAATTATTTGATATTGTTTTAGTTTAAAAATAAGGGTAAAAATGTAATTTAATTAATTTATGTATGATGTAATAAATTTTCCATCTAACAATCTCTCCACTTTTGGAGAGATAAAAAATAGTGGAATCCATGTGTCTTTTTTCAATCTAATTTTCTGTTGTCTTTACTTTTTCATCGTACCAAACACCTATGATTCTTCTTTCCTTTCAAAAATCTCTCCACTCTTTTCTTTCCTCCCACTTTTTACCCATGCCAAACATGGCATAAATAAGTAAACTAAAGGTAATTTTACTTCTATCTCCTTATTTTGTTTCTTTTACTAAAAGAGGTAGAATATTTATACTCATTTCTTAAAAATTCATTCTATTTGGTATACATGTGTTTCTTTCTTCTTCTTCTTACAAAATGGTCCTTGGTTCATCCATGGTGGTTAAACACGAAACTCTGCCTCATATCTTGAGTAAAATTAAATCAAGGTCTTTACGTTCTATTACAGGACCTCCTGAAACGATGAGAATAGAAAACGGGAATATACCAATGATTTTTTTTTTTTTTTTTTTAACTAGTAGACAATAAAATCATACTCTTTTTTCCTCTTAAATTAAGTTTAGAAGAATGCAACTTAAAAAAGGGATTTTTTACAGCAGAAGCTGTCCTTTTCAATAAAAACTAATGTTTTAATTATTATATTAATTTTTTAATAGTTTGATATGTAGTATTATTGAACTATTTCCAATTTTTAGATCAAACTATTAAATAACAGTAACTTAAAAAATGAAAATGAAAGACACAAAACTTAAAACGAAAAACAAAAGGTAAAATGTACAACTGCTTTTCACAAATGAGGTAAAATATTTTCTGACACAAGGCAAGGCACTGAAGTAAAGTTTAGCTTTGTGTTGAAATGAGGATTCCCCGCACGCCCGTAAAAGAACTCTGCATTTTACCTTTTCTTTGTCGCGACTTCAAAATTGTGAAAGCTGATCTCTCTCTCTCTCTTTTTTTTTTTTTTTTTTTTAATATTTACTTTTAACCTCAGAAATGGGACAGTGCGAGGCAGTCGAGCGCACGTGGGAAAGGGTCACCCTGGAGTGGAAAAGTCCATGTAATCACGTGCGGTTTTTTCTGCATGCGTGTGTGTGTGCGTGTGTATTTTATATGTAGTGTTTGCTTCCCATAGGCTTCTGCCCATTTAATTTGAGACGATAGACAAACATCATAATTGTTGTGGGGTAAAATCTTAAGCCCCACACGAAGCAATAATTGAGCGTCACGTGACATAATCGAAGGATAAACTAATATAATAAAAATACGGAGTAACAGTAAAGCGCATCAGATAAATGTCGACTCTTAGCGATCAAGTATTTCCGTTCAAAGAATTGACAAGAAGGAACAATAGCCACACCGTGAAGACGAACGCTTCACTGGCCATGAACAAAGAGCCCTTCCAGGGAGCCGAAGGCGACGAACCCACCCACGTCCAGGTTGAAGTACGATTGTGCCAGAATTTAGTGTGTATTAAATGCATGCAGAGTAGGTAGCGAGGCCGGTGGAGAAAGTCAGGCAGATTGACTAAAATCTCGGTGATCAGATATTATTGTTCCAGAGTGAAGAGAAGATATCGCATGATTTGATTAGATAGTTAACAACTGGAAGATACAATATGGTGTATATAAGCAGAAAAAATGGGTTGAAAAGGGTCGGATTATTGAACACCTATTTTCCCAGAATTTGTATTTTTCTACCAAGAATAGTGAAAGACTCAGCAGATGTAACTCTACGTTGGAGTGAATCACTATAAAACCTGTGTTGATTTTGTATCTTTTCCTCTGATGATTCACATTTAGAGTAGTTAATCCGAACACAAATTACCAAAAATCTAGTATTAATCTGTTGACAAGTGTTTACCGTAAACAATAATTACACGAGACTTGAGAGGATGAAAGGGGGAAAATGTGAGAAAAGTGTGTGGCAAAAAAAAAAGAGAATGTTTCGGATATCCTATTGAACGGTATTATTTTAAGCTGTTAGATGTTTATTAAATTTTAACAGTTTTGTATTTTTATTTTGGTATGATGTTGACTAAGATATAACGTTTAAGAGGATAAATTACCGATAAGAATATCCTACCATAAAAATCTTTAAAAAAAAGAGTAGCTAACAAATATTTCTTTTTTTACCAACACCATGTCAGTGTAAAATGTGTATTTTCCGACAACGTGTTGGCGTCAAGAAAGAGTCCATGGTCAATCACTCAATCTAAAGATTTTTGTTTTGGGAGAAATGTGGAAATAAGTTAAGACTTGGGATGAATTAAAATTAATAGGTTCATAGTTTACATAAGTTAATAAATAGGCTAAATTACTGTTTTTGTCAATAACTTGTTTGGTTATGAACCATAACTTGACAAGTTATTGTCTATAAATCACTATTTTTATACATAAATTGTCTGATTATGAATCATAACTTGACAAGTTTGTCCATAACTTATCTGGTTATGAACCATAACTTGACAAGTTATGGCCTATTAATTTCTATAACTAAAAGTTGGCTTATATACTTTCTTAAGCTTTTCATATTGGCCTATTTTTTACTATTTCCATTTTGTTTTTAATAGTGTTTCTTTTTTCTTGAAACAAAACGAGAGAAGTTTAGATGAATAGGCAGAATGATAAGGTGGTGCAGAAAATGCAACCTTATTTTTTTTTGCTAGTCAAATACAGATCTTATTTCATTTAGTAGGAATGAGAGTAAAGAATTAGGGGAAAAAAAAAATGAAAGTGATTAAGGCTAAAATAATGCTATATACGTGTTGTTTTGTATGAATATATATAGGAAGCAAATGAAACAATATTCCTTCTCTTTCTTAAATAGAGCGAAGTAGAAAATTTATTAGGATAATTACCCTTCTACAAACATTGTCATTTTTTTTTTTTTTTTTTTTGCAAATAAGTTTTATTTTTGTGACTTTAGAGATCAATAGCAGCAACTTCCACATTCACTTGTCTCCTCCATATTTTCCTCGTTTTTTCTATTTCTTCTTCCAAACAACGTGAAAATCCGTTTTTCAACTGCAATGATTATATAAAATACATGTACTTTATTTGTGAGCTGAAAATTTCTTAAGGCTATAGCTAGAATTGAAAAATAAAAAAAAATAAAAAAATCGTTAGGAAATGTCCCATGTAGCTACCGGAATCCTATTCCCTCAAAATCAAGATTCATATTCTTTACCTCTTGATTTCGATTCCCTGCATATGATGCAAAGAACCGAATACGTTTTTTTATAAAATGAAATGAGGCACCTTCAATTGCTTGGTACAAGTGTTACGGACAAAAAAAAAAGGGGCTAATTTTGATGTTTAAAATGACGTTTAATTAATCAAATTATTTAAAAAATTGAAATTCTTTTTTTTTTTTTGAAATCCAATTGAAATTCTTTTTAACTAATTTTTTTATGCTTTAATTTGAGTCCATTACATGAAATGGCAAAATTTAATTGGTTAGATACACTATTTTATATACCAAAAATTAGAGAGATAATAAGCATTACTATGATAAGAAAAGTTAGTAGGGCTCTATTTGAATCCCAGACAAAAATGTTCAATACAATAAATGCATGTTGGCGAACATTATCTGTACTTTCACAGTTTTTTGTTTTTTTATTTTTTTATTTTTTGGCACAAAATCAAATGGATCATTCTTGTGCTAATATGGCCTTGAACTGTCTATGCAAGATGGCATTAAAAATGGTTGTTACTAGTTGGAGACTTCTGCGTTAGAGGTATATATCTAACTAATGCTCCGTTTGTTTCGATGATTCTAGTTTAATTATGAATCATTATTCTTAATTTGTTATAGTATTTTTCTCTCATAAAAAATTTAAATTTCAAAACTTAAAATCATAAATCATTATTGACGTCACCTAAGAATTGCATTATTATTAATTGTATTAAGACAAATGTAGAAGAAAGTGAGTGTGAGGATATAGCTGGTACGGTGGTCCTGGGCTAGCTATTCCAGATAATTATTTGGTACACATGCAAATGTTGTAAATCACACTTCTGTTTTATGGCATATGCCACGGATTTCTGTTTGGTTGGTGAGAAACATACCCCACCAATACATACGAAACCATATGTGTGTATGTGTATATATATATATATATATGGCAGATTGGTTGGTTGCAGTTGCGGACTCTCTAATACGTTGCCAATCTCTGCTAGCTATCAGAGCCTTAATATTAGATATTCTAGCCTACTCATTCCAATATGATTGAACTTAATTCATGTAATTCCTTCTTTGGGATGTTTTTCATTTATTAAATTTATTTGAATAATTGTAATTCATTGAACTGAGAAATTAAATGGTATTATTACGTTTCTTGCCTAGGTGTCTCTCTTATTTTTCAAGAAATTGTCCCTATTACAACTAAAAGGAAAAAAAAAATTACACCCATATACTTTGCACTTTTCGTTTAAACTCAAACTTTTTATTTGGCCATTTTTAAAATGTCATCGATAAAATAACACTATTTTATTTATAGCGATGTTGTTAACTTTATCTTGTATCACTAATAACTTGTAGGTTATCTTTTCATAGATAGATAGTCTGCATATTATCTTTTATAATCTGCAGGTTATCTTTTATATCATGTAGATTATTTTCCATAATGACATTAAAATTTTGTGTAGTGGCATCAATAATAGATAATAGAGTTAGAAAGAACAATGGTTAAATTTAAAATTTTCTCTTTAATAATTATTGTTAAGGCAATTCAATCACGACAGACGTCAATAAAAAAAACCATAATAAATATAAAAAATGTCAAAATGTCCAACTAGCAAAAGGTTTTAAGTGCAGTTGTTTGGAAGTATTGGGGATTTTCGTCTATCAATTGTTGTATGTGAGCTATTGTATGAAATTGTAATAAATTTACAAATTTAGATTTTTGTTAAAATTGAAAGTTTGGGATTTAAATAGCCGAATATCATAGGTTTCGAGTGGGTAGTTGCAATCAATCTCATAGAAAAAATAAAATTTTTCATAACACAATTATAATCAGAGATATTAACATCATTGATACCCTACCGATCGGATAATTGGGGATAACTTCACATCAAAACTGAAAATCTCTCTTTAATAATAGCAAGTCTTTGAACTCTTTTCTACCGAGATTGAACTCTTGTCAAACAAAATCAAGAGCGGTAGTTTGTCCACAAGGCTAAAATGATGACACAATATTGGAGAGAAATTATTGCCCCATGACATTTTATCAACTCTACAAGACATGCCATCCTCCAGCTTAAGAGAAAAACAGAAAAAAAAAAATAACTTTCTTGACAAATTTTTCCTACCCTTTCTTTGTTTTTTTCTCTTTGAACTCTTCCTTTTGGGAAGGAGGTCATCAAGAGGTGGTGTTCAAAGTCAACGCCAGAGGCCACTAGTGTCTCATATCATTTCAAGAATATTGAGTATGATCACAACTTTTTGTTTTATTTTTTAATTTTTTCCTTTGGGGGTTGTAAAAAAGTGAGTTTGCATATTTGCCATCATGTATGATCCTGCTATATTTTGACTTCTCAGATTCCTTACTCAAGGCCCTACTTGTCTGCTAAGGATGAAGAGTAATGCAACTGCATTATTTTTATGTCAGAGACATATTGAGATCATGTTTGGATTTGCATTTTTTTACCCTGTTCATGTTTATGTTAAATTTGTCCATTAGAATCAAATCACTCAAGAAATTATGAAAAATACCCTTGCTTTATCTTGTTTTTGAGAATTAAACTCAATAAAATCTCACTTCATTACCCATTAGGAAATTAAAGCCAAAAAAAAAAAAAAGAAACAACAAAAGTTTTGGGATCTCAATCATTTCCCATTCTTTGAGTTTAAAAGCGGACCTAAAATTTTAACTTTGTGATGCTGAGGCCATGTGCCAAGGCTGTGTAAAAGTTAAAAAAACTCACTTTCTCCAATCTCACAGCAGAGAAGATTTGTCTCTGCTTTTTTCTTCCCTCTTTTTAGTTTCACTTTTTGTGGGTGACCCTAAATCCACAAAAGCTCTCATCGTTAGTCACTATTAAATTAAATAAAAATGCTGTCCTTATTGTGTACATGACTGTAGTTTTGGTCACACGTTTCTATAGCACATAGCTTTTTCAAGGGGCCATAATATGAATGACTTTTCTCATCACTTTTCTTAATTTCTTTACTTGAGGATCAAACCAAGTGAAGAAAAACTTTTGAACTTTCAAAGGCTAAAACATAGAGAAAGGAATATAACTTAAAAACTTCTTCATGAATCCAATAAAACTTGAAAATAAAAATGAACCATTACCATTAAATTACAATTTTTTTTTTTTTGGGACAACAAAATGAACTACAAAATCAAGCCCTTAGCAATGGCTTGATTAGTCTTGAGACTAGTAGTTTCATACACAGGAAGTTCTTCTCTATACCTACCAATCCCAGCAAGATGATCAAGCTCAAAAAGATCAGAACTTGAATAACTCTCAACGTCGTCATCATCATCTTCTTCTTCTTCTTCATCATCAGCTTCACCATTATTTTCACAAAAACTCCTAAGAAACTTACGCTGAGTTTCTCTCTCACCAGATTTTTCTTTTCTTAAATCCTCTTTCAAGGAAGTAGAAGAAGAAGAAGAACTCTTGACAAAGGTTCTAATAGTGGACAAGGGCATTAAACTTGGGTCATCCTCATAAACAAATTTATGACCACAAGGCTGAGAATCCTCGCCAAGAATCTCACTCACAGGATAAAATCTCACTGACCTTTTGTTATTGCCATTATTATTCCCATGTTTAGTTCTCGAAGATTGTGGTTTGCTTAGACAAGATCTTGAGAAAGTAGTTGAAGCCGAAGAGGAAACAGATTTAGAAATATGCTCGGAAGTCACGTCCTCCACAGCCCCAACATAACACATTTTGGCCTTCTTCACATTCCCCGAGTTGAAAATGGAGTTCAAGAAGCTCGCTATCCTGCCGCCCGGCGAAATCGGCTGCTTTACTTTCTTCAATTCTCCGTAGATTTTCATGGCCTTAAGCTTGGTCTTCGAAAACACGCGAGGATTCGGGCTTTGCTTGCTCTCCGCCGGCTGCTTCTTCTCGGGCTTCGCTTTCGGTCTATGTTTGAGGCTCGAATCCGTCTCCGACGACGACCACACCGACTCTGAAGAGCTAGAACCCGAATTCGAAAGCGTGGAGCTTTGGATACTCTGCTTCTCAACCCAACTCTCGATCATAATGGCTCGTCGGAGGTTCTTGATCTCTTTGACTTCCTTAAGAACAGAGTTGCTCTGTTTCTTCTTGATGATCATATCTTCTTCTTGCTCCTGCTCATCGTGATCAGCCTTTGATGATTCGTCGATCGAACGGTAGATGGCGTCGAGAAGGGAAGAAGAGAAAGAAGCGGTTCTTCTTCTTCTTGTTGGGATTGTCGTGTCTTCATGTGGTGGTTTTTTGTACATATTTGCGAGACTTATGAAGCAAAAACAGAGCGGAAACAGAGGGGGTTTTATATAAGGAAAAAGAGAAGAAAAAAAAAGAGAAGAGAGACAGAGAGGGAACAAAGAAGTGAGAGTTGTGTTGAGTTATGGAGCTGTAGTGTCCGCTTTGAGAACGTCAAAAGCTGCAAAACATGCTAATGAAATTGCAAGTAGATCATGTGGAAGCAAACACGAATTAAGTAGAGGAGAGATAAACACGGAGAGAGAGAGAGAGAGAGAGAGAGAGAGAGGGAGAGATTATAAATTTTAGAATTCTCTCCGTTTTTTATTTGTTTTCTTCTCGTGGCATGTGTCTTTTGTACTATGTCTGTGTAGAAGTTGAAGAAATGATATTGAAAAGTGAGAGAGAGAGAGAGAGAGAGAGAGAGAGAGAGAGAGAGAGAGAGAGAGAGAGAGAAGAGAGAGAGAGAGAGAGAGAGAGAGAGAGAGAGAGAGAGAGAGTTTTGTGTGTGTGTATTGAAGACTATAAGATCAAAGAAGAGCCCGTGCGTGCGGGTGAATTATAGTTGGCAGGTCGTCCAGGTTGGCGGGGGGTTTATCTTTATGATTCACCTTTTTTTTTTTTTTTATTATTTTTTTTTTATTACAGTTCCTGTCGTTTTCGAATGTTTTATAGTTTACACCAAGCATTTTGGTTGGAATGTGTATCTTAATTTATATATATAGTCTTATCACTTTCGTATTAGAATAGCTGCTTCAACTGTCTTTTTGCGGTGTAATTTGTACGACTCTAGCTTTACTTATAAGAGTATATGAGCCCATCTTTATTTTGGGAAAGCTCAAAAGCAATTTATGATTGTAGTAGTATGTATGCCTCTATTTCGTATTGATAATGGCATGAACCGTAAATTTTAGATTCTTTGAGCTCGAGTTTTTAGAAAAAAATTTCAACACTTGCAATGAATAAAACTTATAAGTATGCATCTTTGAGTAAAAAGAGAAAACCAAAGAAATTGATCTTTTTAGTTATTTCATTTAGAATTGGGTCACTTTTTATTACTCTTTAAATCTGTCTCTATCTATGTGAAATTTTATGTGCTGCTTATAGAGTTAATCACCCTCAATGTTTTAAAAATATTTAAAAATAATTTCTGAAATAATTTATTCCTCTCTCTCTCTCTCTCTCTCTCTTGGAGCAAGGGAACTTGGCGAGATGTTGGCAAGTACTTACTCTTCGTCAATCTCCTCTCTTCACGTGATGTGGGTACTCATATCCTCCCTCGGAGCGACGAGATCTAATGGTGTAAAAAAATTGGTTTATACTTTAATTCTGTACGTGTGAGATTTTTTTTTTCCCTTCTTCAAAGTCAAACCATTGATTTACTCAAAAACAAATTGATGCCTTACATTTGATTTCGTGATTGTGTGGAAAAATTCCTTTTATTTTCCCTTTAAACCGCTAGTTTACTAAAAAATAGACCAGTTGTTTTGCGTACCGAAATAACACAAGGGTAATTTGAACTTATATCTCATGAAAGTGGTATGTATTAAATAAAGAAAAAGAAAGTGATAAAACCAAATAACCTTCCTTTTAAAAGTGTGCTAAAGCTAATTTTCTCCTTCCAACACCCACCACACTAGTCCAAAGCCCACTGGGAATAAAGGGCAATGAATTAAAAAAAAAAAGAAAAGAAGACAAATATACTTATAATATAATATTAATAAAAAATAAAAATTTAAACTCATACATTCTTAAATAAATATAATATAAATTCTGTAATTTTCTCCCAAAAGGGAAGGGAATAACCTTTCCTTTAGTCCAAAACTTGAAAGGATAGTGGGACTCTTGCACTTGCTATGCAATCAAGTCTAAATCTCTACACCATTTTCATAACTGCTGTAACCAACCTATGGAGAACAAAGTATGAAGCATTTTTTTTTTCCATTTATCTAATGGAAAAAAGTGCAAAGCTTTTAAGCTATTCACAATAGTTCTGTATCATTTCTACGACTAAACAAAGCTTCAAACGCTTTCAATTCCATACACCACTCACTCGAACAGACACCCTGTTGGACAAGTATTACCTCGGGAACCGATAACCACAAAGAAAAGAAATCACCACGGTCACAACCAATCTTTTTTTTGTCAATGCATAAAAACATCATATGCATAACAGATCGATAACCACATCAACTATTCAATGATTAACGCGTTTTGGCTGATTGGATTCCGAGCTATAATATAATCAGTTTGCATTTTAACAACTGACCACCAAATAATCTACTTTTCACATCTTCACCAAAAATTAATCATCATAAAAAAAAAAAAAAAGCTCTCCCTTTCGTGGAATGTCAAATCACCTTTTGAACTAACCAAAAACCCTCTGCGACTCAGTGATTTGCTCAAACTCGATAGCGCATAGCCTAAACACTATCAATAACAACAAAACTACAGATCTCATACCAGAACTACAGATCTCATACGTGACCGTACATACAACAAAATAGCTAAACTTTAAAGTTCAACCCTTTAACTGCAAATACTACGGATTCAAATCCTATCTCCTTAATTTTTTTTTAATAAGATCCCTTCTCCTTTATGGTTTTATTTCTCCAACATAAAGAATTTAACCCACTTGAGGAAAAAAAAAAAATCTCTTTATTTTCCACTCAAATAAGGGTAAAGTCAAAAAGCAAATGGCAAGCAAACTAACACAGAGACTTATCTTATCTTCAGTGATTATAAAAAGTTCACTCCATCTTGCTCATAGAACTCAAGCTTCCAATATCAGGGGCCAAGACATTTTCAACATCATATTTTAAGGCAATGATAAATCAAGCAGAATACGCAAAAATGAGACAAAAAAATATGCATATCTTTAAATTAGAAGCCAATGGATCCACAGAAACAACAAAAACAAAAATTGCAGGACTTAAGTAGCAAATTTTCAGGAGTTTCAAGAAAGTTGAACCAAAATCAAAATAGCAAACGAAAGACTAAGAGGATAACTTCATTCCAATCCCTTTTAAACTAACTAAATAAAACTCTTCTCTCCCATCATCATAGCGCCAAAGCAAGAGGGAAAAACAAACTAAAAAGACTTCTAATCTCCCTTTCTCCTAAAGGAGCATCCTTCAGTGAGTCTAGCACGCCCACCTGTTGGCTGGCACAATACAGTCTGGCAGTTCCCACACACCACCACAGTTTGCGAGTGGCTGAACACAGTAGTTCTGCATTCCAACACATTTACCACAAAATTAAAAATCCATCACTATCCATTGAAGAAACAAATCCAAGCAATACAGTTATGTATCTTATTGGGTATTATTTTCATTCTTTGAAATTATTTTTGTTTGTTGTTCTACATTCCAACACAATTATCACAACATCAAAATTTCGTCACTACCCATTGAAGAACAAATACAAACAATTAACAATATATCTTAATTGGGCATCATTTTCATTCCTTGTATTACCTTTTGTTCGTTTAACTTAAAAAGTGAAAAGAAAGGAAGCCCTTCATTAGACATTGTCAACAAAATAAAGAACTTCCGGAAAAATATACTACATATATCTTATTGTGTACCATTTCCATTATTTGTATTTTCTTTTGTTTGTTTGTTTGAATTTAAAAGTGAAAAGAAAGAAAGCCATTCGTTAAACATTTCGTCGAAAAAACAAAAAAAAAAAATCCCAAACAAGCGAACAGATAGATAATGAAAAATGGAAAAACATTCGAAACTTACATGTTGAAACAGCCCTGGCATTTCACATCCTTCATCAAAGGAAAAAAAGGGGGGGAAAAGAACAAATTAGTACAATCAGATTTAATAGAACTATTGATTTTGTTAAGCATAGAAAAAAATGAAATCATAATAAGGGAAAATCAAGAAATAATAATCGTTGTAAAATACCATGAAGAACGAATTGGGGGATTGCACGAGGCGCTTGAGCTTGTGCTTCTTCTTCTCAAGCTCCGCCGGCGGGTTCAGAAGATCGATATCGTTTTGAAGAACCTAAAAATCATTCCAAAACAAAAGAAAAATAAAAAACACTTCAAAACAAACAAACTCCTATGATGTATTTGATAAACAATAACGTCGTACGATGTTGATTTACAAATCTGAAGTTCTAAACAGACCAACAAAGAAGCGAATCTAAGAATCGATGGTCGAGAAAAAAAGAGAAGAGTTTGGAGTTACCATGTTTGGAAGTTGAAGGAAGCTTTTGGAGAAGACGAGAAACCCTAAGAAACTCTGAAGCAGAGAGCAGAGGAGAAGGCGAGAGAAAGGTAATCTCAAAGCGGAAGCGATGGATATATACCAATGGAAGCTACTATATTATGGGCCGTTGGATCGGTGGTTTTAGATCTGGGCCCTTTATTCCATTACTACTAGCAGCATATTAGGGTTTTGGGACTCCTGAGTCGGCACAAACTTTTTTCTTTTTTTAAGGATTGGGAAGACTTTTTTTTTTCTTGATTAAAATTCTATTTATTTTAATTTTATTAGTTTGTTTAAGATTGTAAATTTTATGACTTGTGTTTAATGATTAATATACCAATAATTTTACGATAATATGAAAAAATCTCACATCGTTTAATCGAAATGTTTGAATATACCTTTTGATTTGAAAATTTCAAGAGTGATTTTAGATCTTTGAAATCACAAAAATGACACTATGGGCCCGTTGTTTAAACTCATAATTTACAGTGTTTTTTTATTAAAAAAATTGAAATAAAAAAAGTTCTTACAAATAGGTTCTTTTACAAAACTTTAATTCAGAATCAAAATCATTGTCATTGTTGGGTTCATTTGTTTCACTGTTTGAACTCATAATTATGATTCTATTACAATATTTTTTCTTTTAAAAAAATTTAAATCAAAAAAGTTTTAACTAATGAATTTTCTCACAAAATTTAAATTCAAAATCCAAGTTACTGACTTAAACCTATAAACCAAGCACGCTTAGTTTTTTAAAAAAGAGAAATCTCAAGAGCATTGTTCTTAAAATCAAATCACCGTTTTTTATAAACGAAGAGAAAAAAGTTTTTTCCTACAAGTAATTTTAATTAACTATGTAATTGATAATAGATTTTGCATAATTTAAAATATATATAAGTAGATTTTTAGATAATTTAAAAAATATATATAAGTAGATTTTTACATTCGGGATTGAACCACATTTATTATTATTATCAGTATTATTATTATTATTACCCACCTAATTTCTTTTTCTAAGATTAATTCATTGTGCAACACGTTATGACCATGTTGGAGAAAAAATATATATTAAACCAAGATTGCTCGGAAAAATTAAAGGCAATAATATGGGTCATGACACGAAAACATGATTCGAAATTCACACGAAATTAACAGATTTGAGTTTATTATAAATAGATTTGGGTTGACACGCATAATAGACAAGTTGGTTACGGATTTACAGTTGATTTTCTAATACGAAGTGAGCTAAATCAACACGATTAAATATATGTGTTATTTGTAAATTAATTATATATGTTATAATATAAATGTTTATATGATGTATTAAGTACAAATACCATGAGTTTTAAAATTTGTAAATAGATTTTACTCGTTTTCTTTTAAAAAAAAAAGATAAATAGATTAATAAAATTGTTAAAGGTGCCATAATTGTGTTAATAAATTTTAATTGTATTAGTTATTCATTTAATATATTACTTTAAATAGATTATGTAAGTTGACTCAATTAATACGATTAATAAATGAATTATGTTTAAATTATTATTTTTAATATATTTAATAAATATGTCGTGTTTGGGTTGATATTCTCTAAAAATATTAATAAACGGACACGAATAGATCCATTATCACCCTTAGGAAAAACACTAAAGGTAAAAGAGACAAACGGCATGCAATTGATAGCAGGCTAAGAAAACGTGATCAACGTGAAACGACAATAAATTTGGTCAAGGATAAAAGAAATAAAATGACATGATCTTAGAAACCCCTTAACAGATAAAATGACATAAGAGTTCCAAAATAAATATGCTCCAACGACAATAACAAGTAAAAAAAAAAAAAAAAAAAAAAAAAAAAAAAAAAAAAAAAAAAAAAAAGGTCTGATTTTTAAATGACTTCAGCGTAAAGATGACAGCGGACTGAAAAATCAATTTACCGAAAAAAGAGAACAAACTAAGGGCCTGTTCGGTTGTATTTTTAAGTTATGGTAATTTGAGTGTAAATTTTAAGTTAAATTTGAGTTATAATTTGAGTTAAAATTGTAACTTGAGTTTGTGTTTGGATGTGCACATTTAAGCTATGATTTAAATTGAGAATCTATTTAAATTTGTGTTTGGGTGGGTAAAAAGTTAAATTTGTATTTAGATAGTATTTTAATAAAAACTCAATGGTGATAAAAAATTTTAATAGGATATATGGGTGGGGTTTTATTCGTCTCTTCATTGTAAACGTATAGAAAAAAATCATCTCAATCGGAATTAAAACGAAAAAATTAGAATGTTTTTAAGAATAGAAAAAATATTATTCATTAACTTGAGTTTGAGTTTGAAAACTTGAGTTGAAGGGAAAACATGAACTTTAGATTTTATCTCTAAACTCAAGTTCAAACTCAAAATTTATAAAAAAAATATGAACTTAAATAAAATTATAACTTAAATTCAAATTTTTTTTTGAGTTTTATTTCAAAAGAACAAGCAATAAAACAACCGGAAACTGAAAACGCCAACATAAACTCATGCGACACCAACCTGAGACAACTTCAACCTAAAAACGACAACATGCTAAAAACCAACATTAATGACAACAACAAAAAATGGCAGAAAAATACGAACGACAATAAGTTTCAGAAGAGGGACGAAACTCAGATAGCATCGTCCAATAAACGACATTAACATAAAAACTCAAAAAGGCAGAAAAACAAAGACGACACCCCCTTAAGAACGGCACCAATTCCTAGGAACGAGATCAACATGAAAACGTCAATAAACTTTAAAAAAAAAAAAAAAAAAAAAAAAAGGAATGAAAGAAACAAAGAAAACTTAACACTACACCGCCCACCCACCCACCCCCCCAAAAAAAAGAAAAGAAAAAAGAGAGAAAACAAAAATTAAACGACAATTTATGGAAAAACTACGATTATCTCATAAGCAATATTAAAAGGTAACATTCTCTTAAAAAAAAATACAAGGTAACATGAAAGTTGAAACTAAACGACTACAAATGAAAACGATGATAAACCTCATAAACGATATTGTCATAGAAATGACCAGTTTAAAAACGACAATTAACTGGAAAAGTACAACAGAAGATAACATCGCATTAAAAACGACAAAAATTCAGAAGAAGACAAGTAGACAACAAGACAAATGACATTGACACGACAATAATCCAAACTGAAAAACTTTTTTTTTAGGCCTTGTTTTTTTCTAAATTAAAATCACGAACTCAAATTATTTCACTATAATTTTTTCACTCATAAAAATTTAAATTTAATTTTTTACTACAATATTTTCTTTACAATGTTAATTGGTACATGTACACAAAATTCTACTACAATATTTTTCACTCCAAAAAATTTAAATCAAAAAAATTTATGCCAATAATACTCTCACATAAAATTTGAATCAAAACCCAAATCATAATTTAAATACACTTTCTAAAAATGCCTTATATTCTTATAAAGGACTTAAAATTGCTAAGTAGTAGTTGGAATTATAAATTAATTAACTAACGGCATCAGTTTGCTCGTGCTTTTGCTCTGGCAAACAAGACGAACGAAGAAAGTGATGTTAATTGAATAAAACCAGTTGCTCGAGCTAAAAACCGATATCACTCCCCAAATACAACTGGGGCAAGTACGTGATTTTACCACTCGCGAGGGGAAATAAAACAATATTCAACACCTACAAACCCCAACAAAAAAAAAAAAGAAAAAATTACTAAACTTACTCTTAAAAATGTATAGATTTAAATTTTTACTTCTTCATTCGTGATTAATATTTGTTTATTAATATAATATTAATTAAAAATGATATTAATTAATAATAAAAGATAAAAATCAAGTTCCCCATTCAAAATACTATTTAGAGACTTCAGGCTAATTGTTGTCTCCTTTTCCCCACTCAAACTACTATTTAGAGACTTCAGGCTTACTGTTTGAATAGGTGAGATAGTAACTACACCATATAACACAGGACATATCTTTGTTTACTTTTTTGGTAAAAACATATCTTTATTTACTTGCTTTATAGAGAACATCATATGCTTTTGCCTGTCTGCCATGAAAAAAGTTGGAAGCAGAAAGAAAGAGAACATATTCTTTCACTGGTATTGACATCTCAAAGTTTCAAATTCAAATACAACTGATGCTCTTCACCCACCAATAAACTTAATAAGAATAGGTAAACGGGAAAGAAAAATAATAATAGTAATAATAATAATAATCTACCACCCCATCCTATGAGAATGTTCTGGATCAAGAACATACAGTCACCTTGCAACTTTCTTAGTTTCTTTCCAGTGGTGTATGCAGAGCCCAGAAAGAGCTTAGAACATCCAGAGGCGCCAGCAGCACCGGTTTGTGATTCTATAGACAAGACCTTTAGTAGTATGGCGATTTCGAAACAAATAAGAAAGACAAAATTATAAATAACACCACCTTTGGGACTCTTGAAGAACCGGCAGCTAACCCCATTCGGTCGATTACAAGTACTGTTCATGTATTCTTGCTCGATTCTCTTCCCACCATAATCTAGCATGCATCTCCCCGAATCTTTCTCGGCTGCACCGGAGGCATATCAGGGGATCAACAGAGGTTAGTTTAGATCACTGGATAATAATGATCAACAGCAGCGTAAAGAAAGGCACATTGACATACTCATGAGATTGTTTCAGATGTACAACACCAAAGAAAACAAGAGAGTTGGGAAAAGCAGGTTATTCAACTTGAATAATAATGATGTCTAGTTGATGATAGTGTTGACAATTTAAGTCATAATTTGGTGTGAAGTTGAACAGCAACTATGCTTTAAAGCTACGCAAACTGAAGGCACAAAAGGGGATGATTCACAATTGGCCTGAAACCTTTAAACCTTGTTATGGATACGCAAGAGCACCGTGGGCTCCAGTACAAAGGCACATGCTACTAAGGCACATGCAAAGGTAACGTGTCCTCGAATGTGTTTTAGTCAGCAAGAAAAGATTCAAGAAATAATCTCTATAACTTTGACCTCAAGTGCCACAATTCACAAAATCAAATCATGCTTGACCTATCCCACAAAGCATAAGTAAGCGGGCCTTTTAATAATCACTAAGAAACAAAATGCGCGAAATCCATGTTAATGAAAAGACAATCAAATAGAGTTAAATTACATTCTTTATGAATGGTTGTGTTTCACCAAAGAGGTCCAACCACAAAGTCACAGGTTGTAATTAATGGGCGGTAGGGTGAAATTTATGCCCGATGTTTTCTGCAGTTAAAGTTGTTGAAAGGATTCATCTACAAGAATTAACTACCCTTACCCCTCCTTATTAGTTCAATTTTCCAAACCAACTAATTAAGACAATGCCTGGAATAGCAAAGGAGATGAATCATTCTGGTTCTATCAGTTATATATATATTGCCGACACGTGAACTAACTCAATCCGTTTCCTACTGGCAAGCTATACTTCCCTAATTGTGAATTGAAGAGTACTAATGGCAGGAAATATTACCTGAATCTGACTCGTCTGAGCTCCCGTTTGCCACCTGGCAACGCTCTGATAGTTATGTACACACCTGGCTCATCCTGTTCAACCCATTCAGTCTCGAGATCACTAGCATTGCTAATGGATAGCTCTCCTGAACGATCGGCATCCCTCGACGAACTACTCCTGATAGAAGCATCCATTGATGACGTCTCCGTCTTGGCCCCACTGATGCTTGACAGTTTAGGTGTCGAATTGATACCTCCTGAATCATAGAAGTGGCGAGACTGCATCGAGTGTTGCTCAAATGAATCTGAAGATGAGTAGCCCATTGCCATTCCCGTCGGACGATACAAATTGCGAGGTAAACGTTCTCTAGTTAATGGTGGTGTTATGGGGCTAGCTTCTGCTGATTCCATTTTTGAGCTCTGTCACAGCAGACGAAACGACATAATAACTACACAGTATAACAATCAATACATTCATATACGTGCTTGTGTCAATATGAACCTATCACTTTAGACTTGGACAAAATTTAATTCATGGAAGGTGTAGCCGAACAATCCTTTGTCTAGACTCCATATAAATTATTGAAAGTAAATGCATATTTGGCGTACTGAATTTCCATTGATATCTTCAACCAGGCTTGGGAGCTCACCTCGTCTTCAGATCTCGGTGGAGTTGGAAGAGGGAAAGCTTGGCGGTTAAACCTTTGAACATTGTACAGTTCCATGACCCTGTCATAGTTCTCTGCCCACCATCTTTGAGCTTGCCACTTGTTAAACATCTCTCGGCTAATCAGGGAAGATAAAAAAATAATTAAGAATCCCTGATGCCCACGAAATTATCGTATTAGAAGCACGAATAGAAATGTGGCAAGTGCTAACGGTTGACTTGGAAATGCAAAGCAATTCTAAAACATATTTTATGGAAAGTATATATATATATATATATATATATTACGGAAATTGTGACGTGCAATGCAACAGGCATGAAAGTCAGCAAGTGTAACTGATCACTAGTTTTCTTCCCCCTTTCTTTGATCATGACATAATTTTGTAGGACAATCAAATCAATCAATTGCCATTTAGAATTTCACCTAGCTATTACTCAAAAAGAGGACCTTAAACACTATCATTACATCATACACCAGTTGTTCATAGTAGAGTTTCTTAAATAATCCCCATGCCACTAACTTGTGCACGCTACTTTTTTGACCAAGGACATACACGATAATTAAGATTTTTTTTTCTTTTTTTTTTAATAAAAAAGGGGGCAAAACCTACCCTTCGGTGCATGGAATAAAGTGGTTATAAAAGTGGCTAAAAATTGACCTTGGGCGGTGCTATAGTCATCAAGAGTAGGTGGGGTCCAAAAGCAATCAACCTTTACAATTACACGACCAACCAACAAAGAACCAACACAAAACAAAAGAAAAAGAAAATGGAGAGAAGAAAAAATATCATTCGGATAATCTGTATCATTTTTAGGTTAAAGTCGATTCAATGTCCAATTCTGAAAGAGATGGAGAAGCAAATCTATCCTCTAACAACGCTGCATTGGTTGGAGTTAATCAACAAGTCATATAAGCCATAAAGAAAAGACCAACGACCCATTAAATACCCGTTTTGTTTTTGTCCCCTAGAGTACAAGATATAAAAGGGTCCATGACTAAGAAACTGCGTAAGCTATATATATATATATATATGTGCGTGTATATATATAGATATATGTTTTGGTGTGGCAGTATTTTCTGGAACCCCACAGGCTATTTGACAAATGACAAAAGAAGGAAGGAAAAAAGAAGTTAAGAAATGGTCATATAAAACGACAAAACCACGGAGAATCAGGCAGGCGTGGGAGGGAATTGGAGAAAGAAAGGGAGGAGCCTTCTCCGACAGAACGACAACACTCAGTGAAAAGCTTCCCGACGCAATCAAAACTGCCCCACCACCACTCCATTTGTCACTATGAGTTCTCCTTTTGGACTTTTTTTTTTCATTTTTTTTTTCTATTTTTTTTTCTTTCTTGGGTTTGCTTTTAATGAGGAGGCGTGAGAATTACTGTGTCAAGTAGGCCCCCCACCGAAATTCTTAATACGAAGTTACGGAATAAGAGGGTCTTAAGGTTGTGTTTGGCTGCTATATTAAGAGTCCGTTTAGTTCGCTGATTCGAGTTGAGATGTGATTTTATATGATAATTTTTTACTGTACTTAAAAAATTAAATGTGATTATTTTTTAAAACTTTTTACTGTAACAAAATTTAAATCAGTAAAGTGAACGAGACTTAAAATAAGTTCACACCCTTGCAGTTTTTTTCTTTCTTTTTGTCTCTTCTGACCTACCAAACTATAATAAACACAAGTAGAATTGTCCGATAAGATCATCTTTAGGAGGTGGTTTAACATGCCAAAATCCAATAGGATCATCTTTAGAGAATTTTTTTTTTTTTTTTTTTTTTTTTTGCGTACACCCCATTCCAAAAAATATGTCTAAAAAGACCCATTAACAATAAAAGATATAAAGCCACCTTCTCTAAAGATTCATGTTGGAAAAACGGAAAATGTTTTATTATAAAGCCATTAAACCAAGGATCCAAACATGACCTACCAAAGCTAAACGTGATAAATATAAAATTTATTAAATTACTAAAAAAAGCCAAACACCATAGTGACCAACTACCGAACACAGACTTAGTGACGTGTATAATTCCCTGCAAGCGCCATCATACCACAAACAAAGCGTGACCTTAAACAGAAACTCACATCCACCGTTTAATGACCTGACTACCAACATAATCACTCCCGATGAACTACCAACATAATCACCCCAGCATCGAATCACGTCCGTAGATCGCGTGGAAAAAGAGGAAGTGAGGCGTACCTGAATCGTATCCGCTTGAGATCGTTCCCGCCGCGCGGAAGCGAGACGAAGGTGATGAGGACACCGGGCTCCACCTGGGCAACCCACTCCTTGGGCTCGCTCTCCTCCACGAAGACGATCAGCGGATCGACTCGCCGGCCGCTGGCGGAGACCGGCGTTCCCTCGCCGCTCGAGCTCGAGATCCCCTTCAGCCTCATCTCCATCTCCTTTCCCCACTTGTTCGGCGTCGTCGAGCTCGAGCTCCCCGTCCGCCGGTACGACCACCGGAAACGGTCCGAGTCGGCGTCCGACTCCGTGCCGTTACTCTTGAACCGCACGCCCTGGCTCGCCGCCGCCGGTCCGGTGCATGGATTGCAGTGCCGGTACGCTCCCGACGCCTTCAACGCCATGTCCTTGAGCTACAAAAACAAAAATAAAGAATAAAAAATTAAGTTAAAAATATTAAGATAGAGAGAATTGGTAGGGAGTTAGGAGTGAGAAAGAACCTGAGAAGTGAGCGATTTGATCGCGGCTTGTTGCTTATTGTTGGGCATGTTGGAGGAGTCCGATTCCTCAGGTTGACTCAGCGAGTCGTCGCCGAGCTTCTTAGGGCGAGCTATGCATGTCAACATCTTCGGTTCCGCTCGCTCTTCTGAGCCGAAAACACAGAGAGACTCACATTAATCGAATTGGAATAATTCCGGATTGCTAACAATAACAGCTGCCTTACCTGCAACAGCGGAATGGATTTCTTTCTCTGGCGAATGCGGGGGAATCGGAATCCGGAGGTGGAAACAAACAAGGGAATGCTTACGAACTTGGCCGTACGGACCCTCCCTCCGGAATGGAGTTCAAAAAGCGCGCAGAACGAGGCAGTTTGCTTAAACCAACTTAAATTTCTCAGTCAGAGATTCGCTGAAATTAATAAATTAAGCATCGATGTAAAGGAAATCGGAATTACTTATATAAAAACGTTGTTTATATGTAAAAAGAAAAACAAAAAACCAAAAAAAAAGGGGAAAGAAATGAAGGAACCATGTCTGTCGGCGGAAAATGGAAATGGTTGTTGGTGGTGGTGCGGCAGAAGAGAGGAGGAGAGGGAGGTTTTTTAGTGGAGGGAGAGAGTGTCTTTTCTCTGCCTGTCTCTTAATTCTTTTTTCGCTTAGCTAATTGGCTATAATGGGAATTGGGAATGCTCTTTTCTTTTTTACTTTTTTTTTTTTGGGTTTGATTTTGTTTTCTTTGCGAGTTGCCACAGTGGGATTCGCTTTCCTTGTTTGTTTCACCCACTACCGGATGTTTACCGGGATAATTTGACACCAGGTTAGATCGGCAATTGGGCGTTTTTTTTTTTTTTTTAATTAAAAAAATTACATAATTTGTATGGTTTTTTATTGTCCGAACGTTTTGGGCCCATTTGTTTTCATTTTTATTTTCGTTTTTCACATTTTTTAAGAAAAAAAATAAAAATGAGAAATAAAAATGTATTTGGGAAGAATCTGTACCAAAATCAAAAATAAAAACGTTTTTGAATTTTTTCTCCTGTTTATTTCCGTTTTCATTTCCATTTTTCATGTTTTTCAATACTAAACAATGAAAACGGAAACATAAAATGCGTTTGGTTTAAAAAATTTTTAAAAATAAAAACAAAAAATGTTTGTCTTTTTTGAAAAATTGAAAACGGTATAATATCGTTTTCATTTTCTCATTTTCTGCATTTTCAGTTTTTAGCCATTGGAGCTTGACTTCTACGAAGGAGTCTCGACTGCCCGCCACCGTCTTCTCCGACTGCCCCCCTCTTCCAACTGCCCCCCCACTCTTCCTCTGTAGTTCTCATGTAAAAATTCATGTTTATTTAATATATTATTAATTTAAATATTATTACATGTTTTTAAAAATTAAACCACCAAACACAATTTTAGTTTTTTTTAAACTAAAAATAATCTCAAAATAAAACTATCAAACGCAATTTTAGAAATGATTTTAAAATGAAAGTAAAAACGTTTTCGTTTTCATTTTCATACAAAAAACAAAAATATTTTGAAACCAATTTTAAACGCACCCTTTATTTTTTCTTTTATTATTATTATTTTTTTTGTTAATCAAGAAAAGGATATGGGGACACGAGCCATCTCCTTCAACTATTAAGGTGTTTTCTTTTTTATTAATTGAACGTCAATTATTTATTTCTAATGGAGTGGTATATTATTTATAATTTTTTATCTTCTCTTTTTTTACTAACCAAAAAAGGGCCGATGAGATACCTCCTAGGCAGGTTGGGCCGCATAAGAGAATTACGACGGGCTGTTTTATTGTTTATATCCATGGCTTGATATTTGTATTATATTATAGGATGATTTTAAATAAAATAAAAAAAACATTGCATGAGAATATTATGTCAATTTACAATATTACCTTAATAGTCATATTAAGAGAGCGATGATTGCTAGTATCATGATCGGACACTAACGATCATCGACCGGCTACAATCAGAAGTCAAATTTTTCGTCACGACTGCCTACCACCAAGTATCACGAAAGGATACCAGCGATATTCTGGGCACTGCTTATATCTGAGTATGGTGCTATTAAAAGCAATTTTAAGTATTTTAAATAAAAGGTGGAATTCTTTTTTGTAAGAAGTTTTTTCAATCCTTGGTGTGGCATTAGTGGAGTCATCTTTATAGAGCGAGAGGATAAGCTATGAGTTAGAGAATATTAAATTAATTTTGGTATTTGATTGGTTTAGTTGATGTACTCATTCTTTTAATTCAATCGCTGTGAAATTGTTCTTTTTGAAATAATTTTAAAATCAAAATTTTACTTCAACAGGTTCCAAAACTTTACAGTTATGACAAAAAAATATATATTTATAGCAATATGTATTAGAACACCAAATAGTATCAAATAAAGATAGTAATATGTATTGAAACACTAAATAGGTGTAGAAAAGTCCGATTACCGTACGCCTCCACACGCAGTGTTGTGCTAAATTTTAGCATCAACAATGCTCATATGGGATAACTATCTTTAATTGCTTCCTTCTAAACACTTTTTTATTTTTTTTTTAATTTTAAAGAGACATCCCTTTTATTTTCTTCCCCAAATAAAAAGTCATCTATCAAATTGTGGTTACGAAGTGATACCAAAAACTGGAAATCAGCTTGGTCAAATTTGCAACGGGTTATCCATTTCATATTCAAAAACTTATCCGATGAGATCCATTAAACTAAAGTTAACTGACGTAACTCACCGGAAACTATATATTATCATGCATGCTAATAAAACGAATGACCCTATTTTTTCCCCTAAGGCCGTATGATGTTTGAGAAATGTGTGATTTTATGCAAATTAAAGGACTTCTATATTGGGAAATGCCACACTTGTGCTGAAAGTCATTATTCACTGTATTGGTCTTTGCTCATATCTAGAGACTATGGCCCGTTTAGTTCGCTGATTTGAGTTTTTAATTCGAGTTGAGATGTGACTTTATGTGAGCTTTTTACTGTAATAAAAAAAGTTAGATGTGACTGTTTCTGAGAGATTTTTACTGTAATAAAACTCAAATCGATAAAATAAACGAATACAACTCTTATATATCCTCTTTTGCTAAAGAGGCAAGAGACGTGCATGAAAACTTTTGACTAGGAGTCAAGAGACGCATGGATTTTCTTTAGTAGCATCTATGGACACTATGCACTTTCAAACTTATAACTACTAATCACTAATTAAACCGAGATAAAATTTTCTGTTAATTTGCATAAATAAATCAAATATAGTCTATAAATCAAGCGTATAGAAGATCTAGCTCCTATATATATACATATATATATATATATTGTTAGTTTTTAACTCACTTTCACAATATACACATTCTCCGTATGCACAAACGAGAGAGCAGTGGCAAAAATAAGTGAATGTTACAATTATGGTGGTGTTGATGATGAGATCGAATATATTTGCACCATTTTTTGTTCAAGCATTTGAGCCTCCCTTTCCGTATGTTCCTTTGTCGCCTAAAACGTATGGGAGCTTTGATTTTTGCCAAAAGAGTGAAAAGTCAAATCAGATTGCGAGGTTGTTTAAGGAAATGATTATGAAAAAATGGGAGACTGTGTTTATACCGGCCGCTTGGACTGCTACGCTAAACCATGGAATTTTTAATCTTCATGTTGTATTGCTATGAATTATTTATAATCTCCTTTTCTTGATGAATACAAATGAACAAACTTTTATTAAGATTCGATGTCCAAACTCACTATTGCTATAATTGTAGAGATTTTATGATTTTTTTGGTTGTTTTTTGACAGATGTGGAAAAGATAAAAGGGCTTCTCTGAAAGTTTGCTATATAAAGGTTATGGGGAGGCTTATTGGTAATATTATTGGTTGAGCTTATCTTTGAAGGAAAAAAACCCTTCTTCTTTCAGCAAAACGAGGGACTTTTACTTTGTTTTGTAAGGCGAGAAATAGACCTTTTCCTTTTGGAGGGAGGAAGAAGAGACGTTTTCAATTTAGGAAAAAGAAAAGACAAAAAAAGGGACATGTATGAGATACTTGTAGTAGATGATCGTGATAAGTAGGGCCCGTTTAGTTCGTTGATTTAAATTTTTAATTTGAGTTGAGATGTGCTTTTATGTGAGAGTTTTTTATTATAGTAAAAAAGTTAGATATGATTGTTTCTGAGAGCTTTTTACTGTAATAAAATTTGAATTCTAAATTCAAATTGGTGAAATGAACGGGACATTAATATACAACATTTCATTCTACCTTTTCATTTTCATTTTTTTTGGCTAGTAATCAATTTTACGTTTTGATCATGCATGGTGTCGAGTATGTAACACGAACGAACTGTTCATTTGGATATTCCAGAATTAGAGGGTGTTTATTGTGTAATAGGTCATAGATGAGTACGCATGCTGTTAACAAAAGTTGGTGGTATTTGTCAGCTAATTCTGCTCTTTATTTTGATTTGTGATTTACTTTAAATAGTGGCCTAAAAAATTAAGTAAGGAGGGGTGGATATACAATTTCAGATTTTAAGGAGGGGTAATTACAAATTTTAATAAAAAACAAAAAATAGAAAAAAAAAAAAAATATATATATATATATATATATATATATATGGTAGGACTACCGCCTATTCTCGAGAAAGTGTGACTTCACTCATGCTAGTACATAATCTATGAATTCCGGGAGGTTTATACAATTACGTCATGACCTAATTACCGTCACAATTTGTGAACAATATAATAATAAAAAAAAGTACACAGTTTGTCATTAATTTATACAGACTTATTATTTATATCATTTTAAATAATTAAGTGTTATTATGACTTTTTATTTTTTCTTTATTAATTGAATGATAATTATTTATTTTGAGTTGAGTGGTATAAATAAAATTTTTTTATTATCTTGAGTGGTATTTCTTGCTTTTTTCCATATATGATTAGATTGTTTAATTCTTAATGTGCAATAATCCAAATAATTTCTGAAGTCAAATCCAAAACTGAAAGTGTATATTTATTAAAAAAAAAAAAAAAGCTGAAAGTGTATATTATACTCGAAGCTGGGCGCAGGCAGTGAAAGAAGCTGCCAATGCACAGCAGAGCCCAAGCCCAGAGGCAGTCAATATCTATATATTCCCATTTCTCCGTTCATTTTCCACTTGCAATTGAGGAAAATTGGTCATGGTTGTCTGAGTAATCTGGCTGCGTACCAGCGATCACTAGCCGCTGTGAGAGTAATCCGGTGGGTGACCATATATTAAAATGCTGGCAAAGATCAACAACTCTAGAAAGAAGAAAAGAGAAAGACAATAGTAGTCTTCCGAGTAGCTTAAGAATACGTGTATTTCAACAAGGGTATTCCACTGAGTACTGAGTAGTGTCTGGCCTAACGGTCATGAGTGTAAGTCCCCCACCCCAAAGTTAAAAGACAAAAGGTATTAAAACCTAATTTATTTCACCGATTTGAGTTTAGAATTCGAGTTTTGTTACAGTAAAAAACTCTAAAAAACAGTCACATCTAACTTTGTTGCTACAGTAAAAAGCTCTCACATAAAGTCACATCTTAACTCGAATCAACGAACTAAACGACCAACCAAATTTACTCGTTCTAGATGTAATCACAAGAAAAAAGATGATGAGATTTAAAATGGTTAGACACTGAGATTTAAATAAGGGAAATTTATTTCTTCACAACATAGATCAAGCCACAAATTTAAAACGCAACAACAAAAACAACTCAAATAACTCGACGTCGGAATTACATGCATGAGAATCAGAGATTGACGTCGGAGTTGTATGGAAGGAGGGGATATGTCTGACATTGGAGTTGCATGTTGATAAGCGTTCTTTGGATTATGGAGAGGCGGCATCTTTGCTTAATTGCTTTAGGCGCTTCAGCTGGTTGTGTCTCAAGGTTTTATCAAGATTGTGTTTGAAGTTGATGCCAAGTCAATGGTGGACTCGTTTACTGGTAATGGTTTAGCCATTTGGGAAATTCAAAATTTTTGAGTCAAAGTGTTGCGATTTGAATGAGGAGGACCGACAATGTTGCGCTGACAAGTTGACGCTTTAGGCGCTCTCCGCACCTTTTGTTATTCCTAATGTCTAATCTTTCTATGTTTCAAAGTCGTTTTTATCCTATTTTTGTAAGCCGCTAAAGCTTTGATTGTTTTCTTTGTCCGTCAATAAATCCTTTTCAACAAATAAAAGTTAAAAAGTAGTCTGTGAATTTGAAGTTATGGAGCATAAAAATGCTTGGGACACAACTAGTATTGAGTACTACAAAAGGTAAGAAATGGACTCTATTTGTGAGACCTATATTATAAGACCAACTCTATAAAAGCGTGCGGTATTGAAAAATAAAGATTATCCCAATATATTTTTTATAACTCAAAGCGGCGCAAAAACCCTCCTCAAAGCAATTATAAGGGTGCAACTTTGATATATTTATCATTGAGACATCACAAACTGATTAGTAAAAGAAAATTTCTTAACAATGTTAACAACGTGTGAATCATTTGGCATGCACGTGTGATTAAAAAATATTAAGAATTAATAATGTCTCAACAATGAAACTATCAAAGTTGTAACTTATTATAAATTCAAGAGCAATTTTATGTTATTTTGAATTACGACAAATAAAGTGAGAATCTTTTTATTCGTGAATCGAATTTAAACTTAACCTTTTAACATAAAAGTTATTAAATTCAACATAAAAAGTTTTTGTAGTCACTGATGAATAGATTAACATAACAGAAGTAGAAATACTCCTATAAATAGCTGGTTTTCTAAAACCAACTTCGCAAGACACAAAAGCCGAGAGCTATGGAAAAAGTTGGTGTTGCTAAACTTGTAGTAGTATCTTGATCATGGGATTAAATATACTTGCACCATTTTTCGTTCAAGCATTTAAATCCTCCCTTTCCTTTTTCCCCTCCTGCACTTCCCCATAATTGGCTTGATTATCAAAAGTCTTCAATCCCTGGTTTTGTCAAAAAAACAAACTGATTAAACAGATAAAATTACAATTTTGTACACAGAAATCTGTTTCTGGCTGCTACAAACACCGATTTGACGATGAAGCATTTAACGAGTGTGTTTTACGTCCGCGCCAAGGCTTGCTATACTAAAACCCTGAATTTTTTGTATGTTTTGCTCTATTGCTATGAATTTTTCTATCCCTAGCTTGTTTGTTAATCTAAAAACGACACTCTATTAATCAAGAGAAATGTTAAAAAGTTGTCGTGAGCATTGTGAGTGTGCAGTGTTAGCCGTTCGTTTATGTGAACTCACTGTGGGGTCCACGTTTATTTTTGGCTCGGATCATGCACGGAGCTATTTATTTATTTTTTATTTTTTAAAATTTTATATATAGGTGGTATTATATTACAGCCCCCATCAAAGATATTTCCTTCTTCAAAAATTTTCAATACACATAAAAAACTGTAAACTCAATATTCAATGTCAAAGAGGGGTTCGTTTATTTGCACTACTCAAGTTATGATTTGAGTTGTGTATGTGAGAAAAAAATACTGTAATAAAAAAATTAAATTTAAATTTATGTGAGATAAATTAGTGTAGTAATATGACTTAGTAATGAAATAAACAAGGGACATTTTCAAGGCATGAAAATCTTTTAAGGACAATTATAGTTCATGAATAGGTATTTTTTATTAAATTTTGTTTTAAATATTAACCCCCACCGAAAAAAAACTTACAGGTTTATCACCGGTTCAGATTGTCTCACTCTCCAATAATCAAGAGACGTGTTAACTTGTGAGTGAAATATGAGCCGTTTGTTTATAAATTATGTGAGCCTCACTTTGAGATCCACATGAATGAATGGTCCAAATTGTCTAACAAGCGCATTTCAATATCGGAATGCAAATTATTTCAAAGTGAATAGTTCTTATATATATATTGTTGTTGTTTTTTTTTTACAGTTATTCTTATATATATATATATATATATATATTGTTGTTGCATTTGACAGAAGTGGAGAGGATTAAAGGGCCTTTGGGAGTTTGCCACGATAGTGGTGGGAATGCTTATCGGTGATGCATTGTTTAGTTATTATAATGGGAGCAGTTTGCTAGGTAGGTAGTTGTGGAATTGCTTGTTAGTAGTTTCATCAGCACAACTACCCGATGGAGGAAGATGTATTAGTTATTTATATATAGATTTTGTATTAATCAGATGGTTTGAAAGCATACATAAAAAAAATTTGGTTTTTTTTTCCCTCTATGACAGGATTCCGTTAGTCTAAGTTTTTTATTTTTGTCAAAATCACATTAAAATAAAAAATTATACAAAAAAAACTCTTTTTAATATATATTAATTACTTAAAACATAGATATATCGGTAGTTTTTTTTTTAATTCTGCCCCGAAATAAAAATGAATTATGAACCATATTGTTGACTCTCCTTTTTTTATGTCAGGGTTCATTTTAACAGAAATTTATAACTGTCGGTCTCGTTCATTTCGTAAATTTGAGTTTTCAATTCGAGCTGAGATGTCACATTTTCTGATAGCTTTTCACTATAGTAAAAAAAGTTAGATGTGATATTTTCTAAAAATTTTTTATTGTAAAAACTTAAAATTAAAAATTTAAATCGGTAAAATAAACGAGTTGTTAATAATCTGAAATCCATATTTAAAATTTCCACTTCTTTCTGCTTCAACCATCAATGTCTTTTTTTTTTTTGTTTTTACCTGTTTTTGGTAATAATGAATCAATGTCTTATTCTGAAGAAAGTCTCACTCTTACGCATGTATTATTGAGATACGACCCCAAAAGATTTTTCTAATGAGAAACCAACAAAAAAGATAAAGTCGATGTCTGTTTTTCTTTGGCTTGATGCCTTTCTCCCACTGAAAAAAAAAAAAAAATATATATATATATATATATATATCATGTGAAGCTTTTTGATTGCATAAGCAAAGATAAGGTCCCTTTTGTGAATAATATAAAGAAGAAAAATGAGGGGTTTTTTTATATATAAAAAAGGGTCATCTTTTTTTTTTTCTTTTTTTTTTTGGTTGTTGGACTTCATAGATGCAATGCAATGGCCATTGCAGCTTTTAGTTGCCATTGGAGAAAATAAAGCTCGAAACCCCACTAAAAAGAGCCCCAAAACAAGAGAAAAAGGAAAAAACGACAATTCTGGATCACCGCTCATTTATTTTTTAATTGTGTAAATGTTAGCCTTTTTTTAATTAATATAAATAAATAAAGCTCCTAAAAATAGACAGAAACGACACCGTCAATCCCAATGTCAAAAAACGACCGCCGAAGACTCACCACAGCCGTCCGATCAGCGCCACAACCCCACGGCACCAGCAGAAAGAATCTCTTTCCGCAGACGCCACGTGTAATTTTTGAAACACGTCTGGGACCCACACCAGATCTGAAACTTCCAGTTCTCTCTCTCTCTCTCTCTTCAGCCTCCAGAAATGACCAACGACGCAAACGGCCAGAGCCCCCTCGACGTCGCCCAATTGGGAGCTTCCACGTCATTCCCCTCCGGTGACGCTCCCTCTCTCCGGTTACTCTAAATAAACAAAAAACAAAACAAAATTAAATTAATTTAAAATAAAATAAAATAAAAAGCCAGGCTGCCTTTGAGAGCTAGCTATATTATTTTCAGTTTCAGATCATCATTTCCACGATACGATGTCGTTTCTAAGGCAGAGGAAGGGCAAATTTCCCAATCCAGAGCACCAGAACGGCGATGGCGACGACGACGAGACGACGAAGAAGGAGAGAGAAAGTAGAGAGAGAAAGCAGAGAGAACAAGAAGAAGAAACGAGGAGGAGAATCAGGAAGCGGTGGTCGTGCGTGGACGGTTGTTGCTGGTTCATCGGCTGCATATGCTCGACGTGGTGGTTCCTGCTCTTCCTCTACAACGCAATGCCCGCCTCGTTCCCTCAGTACGTGACGGAGGCGATCACCGGTCCCTTGCCGGACCCGCCGGGAGTGAAGCTGAGAAAGGAGGGGCTAGTCGCCAAGCACCCGGTCGTCTTCGTTCCCGGAATTGTCACCGGCGGCCTCGAGCTCTGGGAGGGCCACCAGTGCGCCGATGGACTGTTCAGAAAGAGGCTTTGGGGCGGTACGTTTGGGGAATTGTACAAGAGGTAACAAATTCCTGAAAGTTGTCTTTTTCTGGTTTTTGTTTTTGTGGATTTGTTGTTTGGATTGTGTTCTTGTGATTGTTGAGTGATTGTGATGTTTTGGGAGGAATTGGAAAGGTGTTTAGTGAAAAGTTTTTGAGTTTTTTTTATGAATGTGAGGTAAGGAAACTTTAGTGCAATTGGTAAAGTGGAAAGCTTTTCAAAGATTTCTAGATTGCCATGTTCTTAAGTTTCTTAGGAGATGTTTTTTTGTTGGCATTTAAGTCAGGAAGACGTCGTATAGATTTATATAGACGTCTATATGTATTAACCAGCATCCTTGGCTTTGAAAGTTTGCTACTTTCTCATACCTTGTCGGACGCAACACGCATGTCTACGTCTATAGACTATGACCATAGAGATGAAGTACTATAGGATCTAATAACTCGTGACTCTGTGAAGTCATTAATTCTACGTGGTTCTTTTAAAGGGTTTTGAAAGATTATTTGTGCTATCTAAAAGGTCCAATGGTAGTCGTTTTATGTAGTTAAATTGTGTAAAATAATTAATGGGCATGTGCTCATTTCTTGGTCTAAATGCTTTAGTTGGATCATTATGGAAATATGTTTATCACCAAATTTTAAAATTTGTTCTTTTTAAGAAAGAAATGAATACATTTTCGGAGAAAGGAATCTAAACAAACACAACATTCTGCACAACTTGTCACATTCGATATATGTTGTTCTCCTTGTTGTAAGTTGTCTGGTTGTTTCAATCTTGCCAAAATTTTCTGTATTCTTACTGTTTTGGAGTGTTATCTTGCATTCAGTTTTTTAACTAGGATTAGTGGATTGACTCTCTAAGGGTGTTCCTCCCATGTTTTTATTTAATGCAGACCATTATGCTGGGTTGAGCATATGTCCCTGGATAATGAAACTGGAATGGACCGTTCAGGTATAAGGGTCAGACCTGTATCTGGCCTTGTTGCAGCTGATTACTTTGCACCCGGTTATTTTGTTTGGGCAGTTTTAATTGCTAATTTGGCTCGCATTGGATATGAAGAGAAAACCATGTATATGGCTGCATATGATTGGAGATTATCATTTCAAAACACTGAGGTATTGTTAAGTTAATAATTGGTTTGCCATGGGGTTCTCTTAACAACTTATCATCTGTTGAAGGAAGGTCACGTGAAAGGATGTAGTATATCTACAGTTTTTTATGCTTCCTTGAAGTATACACATTTCAGCCTCTAAAAGGTGATACTCTGTTTTACTTGATCAGGTTAGGGACCAAACTTTGAGCAGGATAAAAAGCAATATAGAACTAATGGTAGCTACAAATGATGGAAAAAAAGTGGTGGTGATTCCGCATTCAATGGGTGTGCTGTACTTCCTGCATTTCATGAAGTGGGTTGAGGCACCGGCACCAATGGGGGGTGGGGGTGGATCAGATTGGTGTGCTAAGCATATTAAAGCTGTTATGAACATTGGTGGACCCTTCTTAGGTGTTCCGAAAGCAGTCTCAGGACTTTTCTCTATTGAAGGAAAGGATATTGCCGTCGCCAGGTTTTGCTCTTAAATAAGATATTTTCAGTGTTTTTTGGCTGTTTGTATCTTTGCTTTGGTTTAAGTAGTGCCCTTCAGATCAGAAGTCTTTAGTCTTATACACAATTTTGTCTCTTTTGGGTGGATTTGGTTGGTATAAAACATTAAGATAGTAAAGGTAATCTTTTACCTATTATTACCAACATAGTCAAAATGATCTCTCGGGCTGTTTAAGGATGATCTTATGTCTTTCACAAGTTTGTTTATTTATTTGTCTAAAAATTTTTAGCTTGCAGAAATATATGTGTATATACACGCGTGCGTGTGTACATGTATATTAATACATTTTCCCATTTTGATGTTTGATGAACTGTGTATTCTTATACAGGGCCTTTGCACCCGGTGTCTTGGATAAGGATGTGTTTGGTCTTCAGACTTTACAACATATGATGCGGATGACACGTACATGGGATTCCACCATGTCAATGATGCCAAAAGGAGGTGATACCATCTGGGGTGGCCTTGACTGGTCACCTGATAATTGTAGTACCAAGAAGAAGAACAACGGCACCTCTGCTTCGGGCCAAAAGGGGACAAGGAATAATGGGTCTGCTAAGGGAGTAAATTATGGGAAGATGGTATCATTTGGGAAAGATGTAGCCGCACTACATTCTTCCGAGATTGAAAGAATCGATTTTAGGGTACTTTTCTGCCTTTCAAAAAAATTCCATAACATGTCATCTTCAAATAATTATCATTTAGAAGTTGGATTTGATATGGATACTTGAATGCTTGATTGGTAGGGTGCTGTTAAGGGTAATAGTCTTGCAAACACAAGCAACTGCGATGTGTGGACGGAGTACCATGAAATGGGTGTTGGAGGCGTCAAAGCTGTTGCAGATTACAAAGCTTACACGGCTGGAGAGATCTTGGATCTGCTTCAATTCGTTGCCCCAAAGTTGATGGCGCGTGGAGGAGCTCATTTTTCATATGGAATTGCTGACAATTTAGACGACCCGAAATATCAACACTATAAATACTGGTCAAACCCTTTGGAAACAAAGTGAGATTTTAGTTTCTTGCTTACAGTTCTTTCTAGAGAGTTGTGCATGCTTTACTTGAATGCAATTGGCAAATGCTAAAGCTTTTCACTGGCCAAGTTTTTAATGCCTTGCTTTTTAGTCAGAATGAATTCAGCTACTACAAAAGCCTCATTAATATGGTGCAGAGTCTTGAATTTGGAAGTTCAATTTATGCTAAATAAATAATAACCAAACTCTATTGCTTATTCTCTACTTGGTAAACTTACTGTAGTCAAGGGTTTAATTGTGTGTATTAGTCTTAAGGGTTCCTATCATATTTTTTAACTGGAAACGTAGAATAAGTTGAAAATGCTATTGATAAGCATTCTTTCATTTGTGTCAGTTGTTATCTGCCCAGAAACGAATATTAAGTTAATAAGCTGGTGATTGTGGAAGCTTATCGTTTGAGCAAATTTCTCTTCATAACTGCTTAAGCCTGTTGAACCATCTTTTGTAGATTACCAAATGCTCCGGACATGGAGATCTATTCTATGTATGGAGTTGGCATCCCCACTGAAAGAGCATATGTATACAAGCTAACAACTCCTGCCACAGAATGCTACATTCCCTTTCAAATAGATACCTCGGCAGAGGGAGGAAGCGAGGATACTTGTTTAAAAGGTGGAGTTATCTTGGCTGATGGGGATGAAACTGTTCCCGTCCTGAGTTCAGGTTTCATGTGTGCAAAAGCTTGGCGTGGAAAAACTCGATTCAATCCTTCGGGCATCCGTACTTACGTAAGGGAGTACGATCATGCTCCACCAGCTACTCTCTTAGAAGGTCGGGGCACACAGAGTGGCGCTCATGTTGATATTATGGGGAACTTTGCTCTTATTGAGGATGTCATAAGAGTAGCAGCCGGTGCTACTGGGGAGGAGCTGGGTGGCGATCAAGTATACTCTGATATATTTGAATGGTCCGAGAGGATTGATTTACAATTCTGATTTGTACATGGTAAGTTTTCTCCAAAATTATTGCCTTGATTTCTTGACCTGTGCCCTGTAAATATTGTCATTCTTCCATGTTTGAACTGTTTTTCATGGTTTAAAACTATTTTTGCTATTGTTTCAGTCATGGATGAAATTATACTTACAGCAATCGGAGGTTCAATATCAAGATACGCGTGATGAATTATTATTCACTGCCTGATATAAATGGTTGTTGTGGTGATTAGAGCTGAGGGGCTCGCATTTGCTCAAGCATACAAGCCTAAGAAATGAGAAGAGGTTGCAGAAACAAGTTGATCAAAACTAATGTTTGTCACCCACATTGCAATGCAGTCTTCATTTGGTTTGGGAAGCACTAAAGTCCTGAAATTTTGTTTGTCTGCCCCCCAACAGCCCAACCTTTTTACATTTCATAGCTATTCGGAATTCTTATATTCAATTAATTCATTTTCATTACTAATTACATGTTTCCTCCCTCTTTTCTTTGTTTGCTTTTGCTCAGATGTACTCTCTCCTTTTGCCTTTTAGTCTTTAACTTGCTGTATGCCCGCGCAATGCGCGGGCAGTAATTTTGTATCGCATAAAGAGTTGATAAAATACAGCTATAATTTATTTTACATAAATTAATATGAAAATATCTACCCTGATTACATGTTTACATTTATAATTTACAATATAAAATATGATTATGGACACATGGAATGAATAACGTAAGAATAATATATGAATTAAATCTATAAACAAAAAATAGATAAACAAAAGAATTTACATCTGTATTTTCATATCTTCAACTCAATGCTTCATCTATCAACAGAGGGATAGAAGATTTCTTATGATAGCATCTGATTATATCAATTTCATAAAAGACAAGCAAAAAACAGATTAATGTTAACAGTAAATAAGTAATAAAGAAGGCTCAATAGAAAAATGTTGATGAGTTGTGAATGTGGTAATATACCGATTAACGGCAACTGCATAAGGGTATAAAAATTAGTCAGACATTATATTTGCCACAGATTATAATATAGTCATGATAGAGAATAGGTAGCCGTACTAAAGTATAAATCTGTCTAAAAACTACCAGGTGAACTAAAAAAGAAGGGGAAAACAACAACATCAAAGGGATAATGTAGCTGGCAGAAGATTTACTGCACAGTAGGCAACATATTTTCCCTGCGTAAAGAATATACAATGGTCCTGTATTTTACTTAGATAAAGCAATAAAGGCAGGATCAATGTAGCAAATAACTGATCTGTGCTTAGGCCTCATTTGAATAAAAGGTGCTGGAAAAATGGAAGCTAATGACATAGGAAAGAGTGAAATATAAAATATAAAAATACATAGGGGCAGCATTGAAGAAAGCTTTTGTAAATAAAGGGAAAAGAGACAGGAGAAAAAATGGCGTGGGAAGAGAAGGGAAAAAAAGAGAGAGAAGAGAATTAAAATGAAAGATTTAAGGGGAGTGGAAAAAAAAAAAAAAAACAACATATATCATGTAGGGGAATAGACCTTGGCTTAAATTGTTAGAACAAAAATAACAAACGTCCCAAGAATAAAGAGTTGTATATCATAAAAAATAATGAACACCAAAACAATTGAGGTGATGTTGTTGGTGTATTGGAAATCAAATTTGTAAAATCATAAGAGAAATAATATGGAAGAACTTAGTAAACGGAAATAGATAAAATTTAAATGAAATGGAAATAGACATTTGAAATGTTGCACCCATAAAATTTTTAGGAGGTGAAAAAAAAAACAGGGACAAAAAAAAAGGAGAAACATTTAAATTGTTTTAGTCAAAAGAAAAGAGAAAATCAAAATTCAAATAAGGTAGATTTATTCACAACAATTTTTGGACAGATTAGATGAAGTTGAACAGGTCAAAATTGATCATGATCATCATTGCCACCTACTATAGAAGAAGAAGAGGAGGAGGGAAAAAGGAAAAAAAACATTTAAATCCTTTTGGTAAATCTTGAGTAAGGGGGATTTGTTGACAACAATTTTTGGACTGATTACATAGAAGTCAAGAGACCAAATTTGATTATAACCATCATTGTCATATGCAAAGCCAAGTAAGGATTAAATATGCAAAGCAAAAATGGGTACACATATATACATATGTGATTATGAAATAAATAAATAGAAAATAGAAATAAGACAAAGAAAATGGGCAATCATAAGAACAAAAAGAAAATTTTTTGAATACTATAGTAAACAACAGAAAACAATACCTAATATATTCAATATTAATAACGGATATGAAGAAGATATGGGCAACAATTAGTAAAAGTACCTATAACGCTATGAATATTGCCTTAAACAGAGAATATGAGCCAATGAAACTGAGATCAAACAGAGATAGCTTAAAAGACTGAGCACTATATACGCCAAGATGAGACCAAACAACCAAAAAGCTAAAAATATTAAAGTAAGTAAAAAGAGAGAAGAAAGAAGATATCAAGATAGTTCTAATCAACAATTGTAGACAATATCATGTTCTAAAATAACGATTCAGATGGCCATAAATATATTGATCATAAAATCTGAACAAATTACATGGCAACAAATAAGTAAAAATAGATTGTAACAATCACTGTCATACATTAAAACCATCTAAGGATAACAAATATCAAGTAGAAATACAAACTAATATATGTACTATTATAAGACGAATAAGGAACACAAAAAAAGATAACCGTATATTACTAAGCTTTATTAATAATGAGAAGGAATAAATGTTTCTGAATACTATAAAAAACAACTTATGTCGACAACAATACAACAAAACAATATATTCAGTATGAACAATAAATATTAAGAGCATTTGGACAAAAGTCATTAATAATACCAGAAATATTGTAAGTTGTGCCTGAAATAACCAATATCAGCTAACCAAAGAAAGCTCAAAGAGACAACAGTTTTTTAGACTGCTCTACTTGTTTTGGCTGAGAACTGAAATGGTAAAAATGTGTTAAGAAGTGAAATAGGAAAGATATAATCACAGCAGTTTTTGGACAAATCAAATAGACTTTAATACGTGAAAATTGAGTATGATCATCATTGCCAATATACATATGCACGTCCATGTATGGGTCAGGAACTAATAAAGAAAACGCTCAACACAACATAATCATTTATTTATGAAGCAGAAGACAAAGTAAACACAACATAATCATTTATTTATGAAGCAAAAGACAGAGTAAACAGATGTTACCAATATTCACTAAAAGTGAAAAGGAAAAGTCTTCTCCTTTTTAAATGAGTGATATGTATAAATAGTGTAACATGAGTTCAAGTCAACGCGGATAACAACGGACAAACAACATATATTAACACCACGCTCAAACAATGAAATTTTCATCAACGTGTGATGAACAAATAAACTTATATCCTTATAGGCACTTTATGGCTACCTACTATGGGCAACTGCATAAAGGCAAGAAAAGTTGATAAGATGTTTGATTCATCACACGAATTATAACATGTATGCCAAAAAAATAACCAGCCTGAGTAAGATATTAACTTGTCCAACGACTACCAGGTGAATAAAGAGAGAGATAGAGAGAGAGAGAGAGATGGGGGAAAGAAGAAAAAAATTAAGAAAAGAAGGATGTTGCCCATATAAAGTAAACAGAAAACAAAACATAAATAAAAGATATAGGTTGAAACAAAACAGAAAGGGGGGAAAAACAAAAGAAAAGGAAAGGAAAAAAGAAAAAAGAGAACAACATGTTATACAGATAAGTAGATCTCAATTTAAATAGTAGTAGTAAAAATATCAGAAGTTGATAATAATACAAAATCATGGAAGGATACCATAGGCAAAGGAAAGCACGTGAAAAAAGTAGGATTTAATAATAAAAAAGGAAACTAATATATACGTATATATGTATGTAAATAATTTTTGAACTGAATACTAATCTAAAAGAGGTAAGAGCATAAGAATAAGCAAAAAAATAAGGGTGAAATGAAACAGTAAGTGATCACGGGTAGAACAACAACAACCATAAATAGTCAAAGACGCAGACGTCAGGAAGCAGGAGAGTAAATGAGGGATAATAGAATGAAATAGTAAATGATGGGAGAAATAACAGAGCGGTTGAAATAAAAGAACAGATGCAGGAGAAATAGACAGGAACATGCATTACAAATTCGTGCACGCAGCAGTATTCATAAATAAAGAGTCAAAAAGCAGCATGAACAGTAAACAACGTCTAATAATGTAACACGTAATATTGTGCACTGACATCAGAAAACTTAACAAATAAAAATTGCCTTATTAAATCATAAAACCAATACAGCCCTAGGGATAATTTAAAAAGCAAAAGGCTCAGAAAAAATCAAACGCAAGAAAGAGGAAAAAAAGAGAGAAAAAGTACAAAGGGTTTTTTTTTTTCTCTAAAATTGTCAGGGATTCTAGATAATGCAAAGCAAAAATTAGTGGAGATTCCAGAATATTCAGAGAGAAAAAATCACCAATTCATTTAATGTGTCCGTAAAAAAATCACTACAAATCATCAGCCCATCAACCGGGGAAAGCAAGTGGCCACTGTAAGCATCCAAGTGGCCATTGTAAGCATCAATGCAATAAATGAAGAAGGGAAAATCAAGAATTACCCATACACGGCATGAAATTAGCAAGAAAAAGTCCACCGACAGAGATAAAATCCCTGCACAAATAAATCCATTAAAGGAGAAGATAACGATCAAGGATTCATTTAATACTTGTGCAGCAGGATCAGTACAAATAATGAACGTGGCAGGACAAATGTGCACTGCATATATGACAGATCATTAGCTTAATAAATAAGGGGAAAAAATGAAAATCAGGCAAAGACAACACGGAACCATCCACATAAGGATCTCTGTCATCAAGATCAGGCGGAGTCAACACGGAAGCACCCACATCTGTTTGAACAAAAGCACAAATCAAGATAAAAAATAGAAAATTAAAAAAAAATTTCTCCATAAACATATGTGCCATCCAATCAGAAAATTGCACCCACTCTTGCCAAATACTGAAAAGTTTAAACAGATAATGCGCGGAAGCAAACAACAGGGAAAACCATAGAAAAAGACATAAAAAATAGCGGGAAAAAGAAGCCTGAAGATGCAATCTCCTAAAAACACAGAAAAATTGAAGTGAAAATGACAAAGCAAACCAACATCGAAGACACATGCACGAAAACATAAATAAATCAAAGCATCATTCACTAAAACGACAGGAAAAAACGAAACTAAAACAAAAAATAAACACAATCGAAAAAGACAAGAGGAAAGCATAAAATCGCACAATTTCCTCCTAAATCAGATGAGAAAAGGGAAGAAAATCAATACACCAAAGGAAAGATACATGACATTCGCCAAAAGACCATAAGCATATCCGAGAAAATAAGGAGATGGGAAAGGGGGTAAGGGGAGCACAAAGAAAATGAAGAGGTCAAAGAGGCAAGAAAACG